AAGTCCCACCAAGGTGTCCCACCAGGCCAATAGGGCTGGCGGGAAAAATTGACCCGGGGACTGGCTAGCATCAGAAAGGTCAGGTCCTGGGGTCTCCTGAGCCGCCACACTCCCCCAGACGGGTCCGGGACACAGCCCACCCTGCGGAACATGGGCTCAGAACACAGACAGGTGCAGGCTGAACAGCCTAGGCTGGAGCTGCTCCTCGCCCAAGCACAGCAACACAAGAGCCAGCAGCCAGAGCCCTGGGGAAGGCCCTGAAGCCCTGGATCAGAAAGACCCAAGCTCCCTGTGCTGGCTCCATCTCCCCTTAACACCTCGAGACCAACACACTTTGCACAAGTGAGTCCGCACTTCCTCCCCTCCTCCGCCTCTTCCAAGCCCACCATGGGCCACAGGACCCAGGACTCCCACCCACGGTGTGGCTCCTGTCCCACCCTGTCACCGGGTCATGCAGCTCCCTCTGCGGCTCCTGGCCACTGGAGGACTACAGCACCGAGGCCACAGAAGACTGGAACAGATCCATCCTTCCTCCATACAGCCACAGCGTGCCAACAGGATTCCACTCCACGTTCCGGGCCACCGGTGCAGCTTTTGGTCATTTTCACTTTCAAAGTGGGCCAAGGTGGCCACTGGATGTGCAGGGGCTGCAGTGACCTGCCTCTCCAGGGAGAAAAACTTCCAGTGCTGCCGAGGAACACGGTTCTAACCCGGAGTTCATGTCTTCATGACAACCTGCTTAACCGCCCCCGTCAGGTATTCAATCACTTAACAATTAAGTCCATCAGAGGCACCGTGGTGTGCGGCAGGAATGTGGGGAAGAGTACGTTTCTACCTTCGCAGTGTTCCCAAGTTAGTAGAGAAAATAGGAGTTACATAAATCACTAAAATTAGATTAGACACATGCAACTAGAGGTTCTGGGGAGAAAAGTTTGCCACAGAAGCACCTGGTGGAGAAGGGTTTTCTTCCATCTGAGGAGAACATCAGGGAGCACATGAGCGCTGCCCGGGGACCACCAGAGCCAGTCTGCAGCCCTGCCCCCTTCTGCCCTGGTGCCTGTGTTTCTCATCTGCAAGATGTAAGGCTGGGAGGTGGGCCTTGGCAGGCACCCACACTGGTGATGCGACAGCCATAAGGAAAATGGGCTGTATTAGTCACTTTTCCATCACTGGGACAAAATACCCCAAATCCACAACTTAAAGGGGAAAAGTTTAATGTGGCTCGTGGTTTCAGGGGGTTTAGTCCATGGTCAGCTGGACCATCATGGCAGCAGAGGTTGGAAGAGAAAAACTGCTCAGTTCATGGCAGCCAGGAGGCAGAGCAGGGGAGTGGTGCCTGAGGGGAGAGGGCAGGACCAGATACAGACCCCAGTGCCCTCTCCAAGACCACCCAGATACACCCAGAAGTGTGTGTTGGCTAATCCCTTGGGCGGTTCCCAAGCTGGTGCAGCTGCCCTTTAAATGTAAGATCACAACTGGGTAAGAGGTATGCGACTTCCGTCTGGGAGGTTCCCAGTCCTGGGCAGAGGCTCCCCCACATCTGAGAAGCCCTCAGCTTTTCTAGCCATCTAACAGGACAAAGTGCGCATGGACACTGCGCAAGGCTGCTGCCTGTAATCCTCTCCTCCAATCACACAGAACTGAGAAGAAGGACGGGAAAGGGAGGAAATATGTCTAAGAGGTTCCAAAAAAGAAAAAAAGAAAGAAAACAAAAATGCATCAATGGGCACTCGCAGATGACAAACAATGACAGCAACTGTGCTGCAGAGGGAATCTTGCAAGGTTTGAAGAGCTCGGAGACACCAGCGACCCCGGGACACATCAGCGACACCCCAGCTCGGTGAGCCCAGTCCCTCTGTGCTGGGTCTCGGTTTCTGGTCCACCCCAGACTGTTTCTTGCAGCTTTCAGGCCCTGAATCTCACTCTCGGAGCCGACTACCCGGGCCCAGTCAGGTCCCACCTCTCCGTGCAGCTCTGCCACTGCCCTGCCCAGGGCTAACACAGTCCCTCCGTGACTCTCCTTCCAGCCGCAGCCCCTCGCCTCCTCATGGCCATGCAGTGTATCATCTCTGCAGGCCTCTGAGCCTACAGCAGGCTTTGATGTTGATCGCTTGAGAGACCCTGGCCAAAGACTTGGCTCCACATGAAGCCGGCCTCCTTGTATTCATGCTCCACGCATAACACCGGCACCCAGGGCCTGGCACGCGGCCAACACTTAATGAATATTAACTTCTCTCTCCTCCGTCCCAATGCAGGGCCAAGCACACAGCGGATGGCATGGGAACTGAGCTTTCTTTGTGACCTGAAGTAGCCTGCGCACATGCTCCCGGAAGTCCATCCATCCCCCGCTCCTGCCCCCGGTTCTGTGCACCAGCCAGGAAGTGCATTCCATCACAGGTTTTAGATTCTCAGCAGGAAGAAAAAGGGGGACTCGTGTGTCCCCCCGGAAAGCCTCACTTCCCAACATACTGCCCTGGAGAAAAGTCAAGGCCAGAGTCAAAAATCTATCTTTTTGTTTTCTAGCAAGAGGGCTTCCACAGGTCGCATCAGGTGAGTCATCGTGCAGTGCTGATTCTCCAGAAAGGTACCCAGGAGCAGCACATTCTGATTTCTAGATCCAAGGACTCCCTCGGGGTGGGGGGGGACCCTATGCTCACCCCAGGTCAGGGAGCTGGGTGGCAAAGGTTTGTGGCCTAGCGCCCCATGGGAAGGGCTTCCTTTTAATGTCTCCATCTCCGTAAAGAAAGGCATCCATGGGAGGCGGAGAAGGGAGCTGGTCCCGAAATGACCACTGATGGCTTCTCCAGCCGTGCTTGAGGGGAAGCCCACAGCTCTCCGGTCTCAGGGAGGACGAGGACCCAAAGACAAGGAGGCCAGGCATCCTCCTGAGAAGATCCCGGTGGACAGGGGCCTGCCTGGGTAGACGTCCCCGCCGCGGTCGCAGGGGAGCAGGCAGAACCCCAGGTTCTGGAGCAGCACAGGGGGAGAGCGGGGCATCGGAGACCAAGCCAGCCACAGCCCCAAGTGCTTGCTGGTGCCCGGAGAGAGTGTGTGAGGCCCGGAACCTCCCCTCCCTTCTTTCTTCCTTTCTTTTTGTTTCTTTGTTTTTTTGTCTTGTTTTGTTTTTTGAGACAGGGTTCCGCTATGTAGCTCAGGCTGGCCTTGAACTCTTTATGTAGCTCAGGCTGGCCTCGAACTCATGGTGATCCTCCTGCCTCAGGCTTCTGAGAGCTGGGATGACAGGCGTGCACCACCACACCTGGCCCCTTCTTTTCTGTAATGAGGATGAAACCCACGGCCTTCACACTGAGCTACATCCTCAGCCCCTGTTTTTATTTTTATTTTTCATTTTAAAATTGTGCCTTGTCAAACCACTGAGTTGTCTGGTCTGGGTCCCAGCTTGTAGTCTTCCTGCCTCACCCTCCCACAGGCGCACAGGATTACAGGCGCACAACACCACGGCCAGCTGTGAGGTCCTCTCAAAGTCCCAAACCACAGTGACCTGCATAAGTTCTGCAGTCTAAGGAGTCTTCAAACCCGGATCACAAGCCAGTGGATTGAGGACAGAAACCCTCCGCAGAGCCCAGGCCCCGCAGGGCGCTTGGGTCCTCCCTCACGTCTGCCCTGCACCAGCTCTCGGAGCTGGAGCGCTGAAGCTGGAATCCACATCTTTACAGACCTTTACAGACCGAAGCTGCACAGGGCCTGGAAACCATCCATCCATCCACACTCAGATCCTCGGCCACACGGAGCCTTCCGCAAAGACAGAGAGGAAGGCCCAGGCAGTGGGTAGTGGGTAGGTGGGCGGACCTCTCCCATTCAAACTGGCCTCAGGCCCACCCTGTCCTCCGCCCAAACCATCCGTGGCTCCCACTGCCAGCCCAGCCCAATGTGCTGGCCTGGGGTCCAGGTTAGCCTTTGTCCCAGGCGACCTCTCCAGCCCTGTGTCCTCGGCACTCTAAAAACTGATAAAAACAACCAGGGAAGGCACGGAGGAGCCCAACAGCCCCCACCAGGGAGGATCGCCCAGGAAACCGCACAGGGAGCCAGTGCCGCCCCCCACGTCCCGGTCCACTGCTGCCTTAGTGCAGAGCCCCCTCCCAAGCCCCTCACTGCCCAGGTTCCCCGCACCGCCTTTCCTCAGCCTGGCCTGCGCTTCACTTATAAACACACACACCTCTCACTGGGTGTGGTGCACATGCATGCCTGCTATCTCAGCGCTTGGAGGCTGAGTCAGGAGGATCGCAATTCCAAACCCAGCCTGAACAACTTAGCCACTAAGATCCTGTCTCAAAATAAAAATAAAAAATAAAAAAAGACTTGGGATATAGCTCAGCAAGAAGCCCTGGGTTCAATTCCTAGTAGTGCAAAAAATAAATACGCAAAAATAAATGCATCCATCTCCTGCCTGAACTCTTTTCTGGCCCAATTCGCTGAGACCGGTCTTTGGACCTTACCCTTCTCCCAGGCCTCAGTCCCAGAAGCCTTCCTCCGCCAAAGCCCCGCAAAGCGAGAGGCACGCGGAGCTCCTCCTGGGGTGGGGTGGGGGGGCAGGCCCGTTCCCAAAGCGGGTGCCGCGGCTCCGGTCTCCCCCACCCGGGCCCTGACCTTGACACGCGGGGTTCCCCGCACACCTTTATTCTCTTGGAAGGAGAGACAGAGACCAAACTTTTGGGGACAACCCCCGTCTCGGAGCCCCGCGGGTTAGGGCGGCCGCACCCTCCCCACTTGGAAGCGCCGGGTCGGGGCGGGGGGGGGGGGCGGTACGGGTCCCCGAGGCCGCCGAGCCCGGCCAGGGCCTGTGCGGGGCTCCTGGCGGCCGGCGGGGATCGGGGCCAGCGCTGCAACCCGCGCCAGGTCCCCGCGCGACGCAGGGGACAGCGAGGGGTCCCCGCGGGGCCAGGCCGGGGTCCCCATCCTCGGCGCCGCCATCACTGCGCCCGCGCGGCGCGAACCCCGGCCGGCCCGCAGCTCCGACACGAAGGACGCGCGTCGCCTACCTGGTCCTGCGCCCCGCGCCGCCGCCGAGCCGCCCGTCCGGTCCCCGGCTCCGACCCCGTCCCCGCCCTGTGCCCGGAGCTGCCGCGCGGGAGCGGCGGCCGCGCGCACCAGGCGCGGGCGCGAGGCGCGGAGCCCGGCTGCTCGCTAGCGCCCCCTGCCAGGCGGAGCCGGCCAGAGGCCTGAGCCCGGGACGGAGCTGGGTCAGGCGGGGCCTGAACATGCGGAGCCCCAGGGGACGGGGGAGTCACGCCCCGACCAGAGGTGACCCCAAGTCCAACCCTGTGTCAGTCAGCTAGAAAGAATGGGGCCCCCCCGAGCTTCCCAGACATGAGCTTTGTCCTCATCCGCCTTAGTCAGGTTGGCACCGTGTGACTCCTGGCTCGTCCCAAAGTCACAATGACCAGGAAAGGGAGGCGTTTTGAATCCACTCAGGACATCGAGGCAGCCAGGACAGCGCAGCTAAAGACCCTCAGGAAAGAGGACTCCAGAGCTGCTGCGCGAAGTGGCCAGGGCGGTGGGATGAGTGTGTTCAAAGTGAGGGGAAGGATTTTGAGGTGGATTCATGGCAGTGTGACTTTTATCATAATAATTTTTTCAATTTAAACATTCACTGTACTTTCAATCATACCTTATATGTCATAGAGCTCCCGGGAGGAAATAAGTCTAATAACCACTGGAAAACAGTGGGGATATCATAGCCTTCGGTACCGTTTCTCACATTTCCCCAAAGGATTAACCTGGAAGAGCTGGGGTTGCTTTGTTTGGGTTTCAGTTTTGAGACAGGATCTCACTATGCAGTTCAGGCTGGCCTTGAACTCACTATGTAAGTCCTGGGCCTCCGGGTCCTGGGTAGGACAGCTGAGGCCTCAGGGAGGGAATCACACTCACCCCTGACACTCTCCAGGCTGAGGCCAGGAGCCTGGTGTCTGAGCATGAAAAGGCAGATGTGGGAAATAGGGAGACAGACCCTTGGTAAACAGAAAGGGGCTTGGACATGGAGGAAGGGAAGGCAGGGAAGGGAAGGGGAACAAGACACTTAAGATGCGTCCTATCCATGTCCCTAATCCCCACAGCATGTGTAACCAGTATGTACTGCCAGTATGAACTGTGGAAAATTTTTAAAGAAGTCAGTGATGGTGGGAAGCCAGGCAGGCTGCAGAGGGGACAGGTCCAGAGCCAGAGGGGCAGCACCTGCTGTCACAGAGCATGCGAGGTAGTGCAGAGCTTGTCCCAGCACGGTGACCTCTCCTTGCTGTCCTGGCTCCATCAATGAGTCACTGCCCCCAGCTCGGCAGACCTGTCTCCTTTCCACCTGCTGATCCTCAGCTCATGGAGGTGTCCAGCACCCCTTGGGCTGCTCCCCAGTGTGCACTCCTAATGAGAGGATGACATCTCCTGAGCCTGCTCCTGTACACAGCTCCAACCACACACCCCTGCATGTGCCACGGCCAATTGGCGGCCCATACAGTGGTGGCCAGGAAATGGGTGGGGAGAGTTTGTGACATGCAGACTTCCATCCTGGGTGGTCTGCAGGCCCTCTTCAGCTCTCAGCCTGCCCTAGAACAGCGGCTAAGGTGCTGGTTTGTATCTAGTTGCCCCACAAAGCCTCAGGTGCTCATAAGCAGGGCTTTGGGGAGGTGGCTGGATTGCGGGGACCTGACAGCCACAGTGGACTCATCCACCATGGAGTCTCTAGCTGAACTGGTGTTGGGAGCTGCAGCCTGTTTGGAGGAGAGGTCCCTGGGGATGTGGCTGAAGGGTCTGTCCCCTTCTCCTCTGTCCATTTCACTCTTTGCCTCCTGTGGGTCACTGACCCCCAGCTTTGACCACTGCCCTTGTCTCACCTGAGCAACAGCACTGCCACCCTGGGGGCCTTGCACAGGCCTGCAGTGTCCTGGGCCCAGCTGTGGAGTGGATTCTCTGAGAGCCCTGGGTCTGGGTGTGTCGGGTCCTGAGAGGCAGGCTCTGTTTCAGGACTGGGAAGCATGTTTCCCTCCTCTCCACTCTGCCCTGCCAATGGTGGGCTGTGGGAAGTGGGCTGATGGATATGATAACTTGGTTGATTGTTAAAGCCGACTCACCTCTGGCACCCAGGGTCTGTAAAAGTACACAGTGACCATAAACCCAAACCAAAGAGAGACCCAGAACATCAGGACACTGAGAGATAGAGCACTGCACAAAAATACTTTAATATCCTCCAGCATGTTCTTGCACATTAGACCAATGCCAAGAGCATCATATATGGAAATACACACATCTACCTAGAAAATAAACCTCATCATACACTCAGAGCTTTCAAGCCCTGCAGCGTGACTGACCTCTAATTACCACTTATTAAACAATCCATTCAGCAGGAGAGTAGGATGTATGATGCATTATTGATGAAAGAAACTTTATTGCCACTCTATTCAACTGGTTTGCTTTTCTCTCCTCTCCTTTCTTTCTTTTTTCCCCCCTCCTTTTCTTTAGGGCCTTCACACTGAGCAATATCCCCGGCCCTTTGGGTTTTTCTTTTGTTTTTGTTTATTTGGGTTTTTTTGAGACAGAGTTTTAGTAAGCCACTAAATTGCTCTAACTCATGATCTTCCTGGCTCAGCCTCCCAGAGATGCTGGGCTTACAGGCATGCACTACCACATCTGGTTGACCCAGCTTTTAATCTATGCAGCAATTAGACTCCAAACACTAATAAAGATAAACCTGATCCCATTTTTTAGATCATTCCGCCAAATAAGCTCACTTGCATTCAAACTTGAAAGAAAACAAACCACTGTCATATTATTTATCACTCACTAAATAGCAGAGATGATAAGTGGTTGGAAGACCAGCAGGCTATAGCTTGTGACTTATCCTTCCAGGCTTCTTCAGACAAAATTCCTTTCATGTTATCACCACCCAAACTTAAAACAATCATTGCAAACACTTGCCCTTAACACTGAAGATACACCAGTTATATTGTTCTTTACTTTCCCAATAATCTGAGCATTCTCACAAAGCTAACACTTGCATTTAAAGTTGAAAAAGCAAAGCAAAACACTATGTAAACCAAGTTTGAATTTTACTGTAACACTAGAAGTTCCTATTCCTCCACTTTAAGAAAAAAGGGCATCTGAATATTTTAATTGTAAAATGAGGGACTTTGTGATTCATTTTTCTCTTTTAAAAAATACACAAATTAGAAAATACAGTATAGGATAACCTATACTTTTTTTTTTTTTGTACCAGGGATGCAACTTGGGACCTTGCACAAGTGAGGCGGGCAGCAGCACCACTGAGCTAAATCCCTGGCCCAATACTATTTTAGATAAGACACAAACATGTAAGTTAAGTTAAGTTATAAAGCCTTAAAACTTGAGGTAGGAATACTTTTTTTAAAAAAAAAATCGCCATTCAAATCAGAAAGTCCTGAAAATAGATTATGAAGCAGAATTTCTGGAACAATGAAATCATACATCTACATCTACGCGCCCTCTTCTGTCAGGCACTGGAATTGCAGCTGAATGAAATTAATCTGCTCTGGCAAAAAAACCAAAACCCAAAAACCAAACAAAATCCATGATTTTGCTTTTTTGAAACAATTATAGAAGAATGATTGTTTTGCAGGCAGTGAGATGCTGTGTCAGTTACCAGGAGGGGACTTTGATTTCGTGATAGCCTTTGCATCATGCTTTGCCTTTGAGCTACAAAGAGGAAGGGGCTGGCTTTTCTCCCTCGGACCCAGACCATGTCTTAAAGCTAACAGGCTTGGAGTCAGTTGTGAATGCCGCCCGGAGCATGGCTCTGTTTGAATGGACCCGGCCCGCTCCACACTCACTGCCACAGTCCTTTGGGGCTCCGTTCCCAGGGCGTTTGCTGAGCAGGTACCCAGCCGCTGGCCTGGTCACGTCAGAGACCACAAGGGCCCCCTCGGGCAGGTGCTGGCGTCTCCTCTCGCCCTCCGGTCACCAGTCCAGCTTCATGTCTGCCTTGCTCCACACGTACTTGCCCCCTCGCCTGAGAAACATCTTCTCATTGAACCCGCTGAACCTTATGGCCTGCTCCACGCCGACGTCCAGGATGGACCGAGACGGGTCCTTGCTCCCCTGCCTGCAGTTCAGAAAGCGCATCTGGAAGACCCGGAGACAGGGACGTTTTCAGTTCATCTGTCCTCTGAAACGCAGCAACCCACGGCCACCTCTGACTTTCCGATGGAGGGACAGGGGTGCACGGAGCGCTGTGGCCACACATGGACAGCCCCGCTCCGCTCCCCATTCCCCCACCCCTTCCCGTCCACGTCCACGGGGAGGCTGCGGTAGGAGAGCACCGCACACCTGTCCCCGAGCCGAGCCGTGTTCCGCGTTAGAGGGAGTGGCAACAGGACACACGACCCCAACATGCTGACATTTGAAGCTGGTTTTGAAATTTTAAACTGAGAGAATCCCCCTTTCTGTCTCTCTTAAGCAGAAGCTTTCTTTCTCCCAATAAATTTTTGCTACTCTTAAATTGAGAGAATGTAGCATAAAAGCACAGAGACAAGGACTGGTACTGTGGCTTTGGGAAATTGCAGGCAGTTTTTTTTGTTTGTTTCTTTGTTTTCCTCGAATGCAGATTGCATGAAGGGCTGAGAGTGAATCCTAACAAAGGCTTTCTTCGGGAAAGGCAGAGACAAATCAGAAATGGGCTCCCGAGGCAGGCACATGACAGACAAAGGGCAGGCCTCTGTGTCCTGCATCCTGCTGAGCATCTTCTCTCTTATCCTGACTTATGTTTTTATTCACTGTGTCCTAGCCTCTTTTACCATGAAGGCAGGAATGGGGTCTTCACACTTCCTATCACCTGCCCTGAGCGTTTTGTAGGAGATCAAGTAACACACATTGAATCAAGAAGTTATTATATTACAAAGGCAAATCTTGGTTCCATTATGTTTTTTCCAACTATGCAGAGACCAGCAAGTTTGCTGAGGAACATTGGCCAAAATCCCTGGACAGTCACGATAATTTGCACAGCAAAAATAAATTGTGTTTCTCTTTACTTGGAACTCCTCCTCATAAACCAAACATTCCCATGATCATTTTCTCTTTATACTCTCTGAAGAAAGCTCATGTTGACAATAAACGAAATTAGTTTCAAGCATCATTGATTAACTCAGAAATAACGAAATAAGAGATTATAATAAACATTTGTCAAAAAATCCAATTTAAACATTACGCTCATGGTTCTCACTGGAGCTTATTTCTTAAAAATATGTCTTTGAATGGAATTATTTGTTCTCTGCTAGAAATACTGCTAAAGGTTCTATGTTTAGAACAATAACAATGAGAAAAATAAAAGGGGAAGTGGGGTTTTTTTTCCCTATTCTGAGAAGGGTGGGTTTTCCTTTTCCTGGAAAATGTGGCGGGAAGGAGCTGAGATCAGTGGCCTTTGGAGAGGGACAGTCAGGCTCTGATATGACCCAGTCTCCTCTCTCATGAACCTTACCCCCAAACTGCTAACAGTGGACTCTGCTGTGTTACGGGGCCCCCGTGACACCCACAATAGTTGGCCATGGAGAGACAACATCCTGGGGTGACTACTGCCAAGTAAGGGGCTTGGCTCAGGCTACAATTTGTGGAAATGCCCAGCACAGAGCTTGACCCATTCTGGCCAGGGCTTCACTGTATTCATAAAAAATCACTGTCTGTCAAAATGAAAGGCCCTCACGGGGGGACAAATCGGTACTAAGTGGCTGTGTTTGCTCCAGTTTGACTCTGGTGTTGCTATGTAATTAGTTTTCCCAGGGATCATTTTCTAATTCACGAGGAATACTCACATATTCATCCAGAATGAGATAGGAGTCTTTCATCTGCAAAAGAAAACATCAGATATAGATTTAGTCTCAGATACAGCCTTGGCAGGATGACTATTGTCTGATGTCTCTGTTTTTCTATTCCTGCTGAAAGGCTCCATGGAGAAATGTCACCACAAAGGTGCCTCTCACAGGGATGACCCAGGACAATCCTCCTTTCCCTCCAGCTGTCATCAACACGGCCTGTGACTGTGGCTACCACCCAGCTGGTTTCCTTCTTTTCCAGGGTACAAACCAGAGCTGTCATTAATGTTATAATCCAGAACTAAAGGGTGGCCAACCCTGGGATTCTAAGTCCACCCTAGCCAGTCTTGAAAGTAGACATGTGCCCTGCAGCCATAGGTAGGGACAGCTTCCACATCTACTCCTCTCCATACAGATAGGTGAAAAAAAGTCTTTTCTGTAAAAGGCCAGATAGTAAATACATCTCACCTCAGATCTCTCAGAGCCTCTGTCACAGCCAACAGGCTCAACATTGAAGGTCAAAAGCCACCACAAAAAATATGGGCGGGAATGGGCACTGAAACTTCTGGGGCCCTAAACATTGAATTGTGTAATATTTTCATCAGCCATAGATGGCATCTCACTTTGATTTTTCACCTACCATGCTCAGCTTGTATTTGATACTGACCCAGGCAGCGGCCGGGTCTGTCTGGAGCCAAACCTGGCAGGTTGAGGGGTGAGGGGTGAGGCTGGGAGATGGGACAGCAGCCAGAGCACCTGCCCGAGCTGCTCTGAGAATCCAGCCCCAGCAGGAGCGCTTTGACCAGCCTGAGGGGTGCACACAGCAGGGCTCCTGGGCTTTGGGGTCCACGGCCCACTCCCTGGGACCTTCCAGACCCAGGCGTCCGCCAGAGCCTCAGACGCTCAGGGCTCGAGGCATGAGTTCCTGGCCATGGGGTTTCTGCCTGTGTTCGAGCATATGGGAGCACTTTTCTGTATGATATTTTTGGGTGACAGATGGGAGAATCTGTTTTTAAAATATGTTTTTGAATAATGAAACTTATTTAAACCACTTTAAAGTCCTAAAACTTATAAAAGTAAACAAAATGACTGCTAATTCCACTACTCCATGGTAACCATGGCAGTAAATCACAGGGGCATTTTGGAGTTCGCTAGTATGGACTTCAAATTAATTTTGCATACTAATTTTCACTGGAACTTATTATCATGAGAACTTATCCTGGTCACTTAGTATTTTTTGAAATGTGCTTTATAGTCAGGATAAAATTTCATTCTAGGAACGTACAAATTTATCTGATCCAGCTAGGCTTTTAGCTATCATGTATTCAATTTTTTGCTGTTAGTGACTCTTAACACAACAGTAACATGCTTTTGCATAAATATTTCTCAGCCTGTAAGAAGATTTCCTATGTTTTAAGGTAGAATTTCTGAGTTATTGTAAGCAAACATTTAAAGGTTATCATTATAAATTTTCCTAGATTTTTGTCTAGGAAATTTGAAGTGATTTATTCTCTTACTAACAATACGAGTTTACTTTTTAATATGACTTCATGTTTTGCATTTTAATTTATGTTTCTTTGAATGCTGATGATATCAAAGACAAGTTTATCCACAATTTGTTTCTTTGTGTATGAATTATTTTTACTCAAAGCCTGACTTGCTTTTTCTGTGTTAGTAGATTCTCACTTCTACCACATAATATTTTGTTTTAAAAGATTCAGCATAATATGTAATGGTAGCATTTTCTACATTTAATTTTTAGAGCATATGTAGTTATTTATTTTTGGAGACAGGGTCTCGCTATGTAGTTCAGGCTGACCTCAGATTTGTGGTGATCCTTCTGCCTCAGCCTCCTGAGTTCTGGGATTACAGACATGTGGTATCATGCCCAGGTATATTTTTAATTTTTATGTATTCAAATACTTTATTCATAATTGTCTTAAAATGTTTATTCTTTTTTTTTTTTTTGGTACTGGGGATTGAACTCAGGACCTTACACTTGGTAGGCAGGCGGCGGCACCACTGAGCTAAATCCCCGGCCCTTAAAATGTTTATATCTTGCATTAATCAGGAGGTTCCTCCACTCTGAGAGTGAGAACAAGGAATTATTTTTCTTTAGATTTTGAGTGATGACTCTTCATCTGAGGATAGCTGGAGGCAAAGTAGTGTAGACCTGCTGGGCCTGTTTAATCTGTGCTGTTTAATCTGTATATAAAATCTAATAGGAAGCATCCAGGTATACTTCTACCAGACAACTAAGGGACTGGCCAAACAGCCTTTCTGTTCTATCCGACTTTTATCCTTCATAGAGATAATTCTAGCTAGCAAGGGATGTGAGATCAACGCAGTAGCTGTCCCATCTAGAGACTGCATTTGGGAGGATGGTGGGGCAGGATCACAGATCACGTCTCGGAGGTGACACTCCACCCACTCACAGAGAAGGAAACTGAGCCTCAGGGAGCCCTTTTGGCTGGCAGGTGGCTTGGACTACCCCTTACGCTGAGTCCCCTAAAACACCCATGTGAGGGTGTGCACAGCCTTGGGGCAGGGGAGCCTTGGAGTGATCTACATGTGTTCTGGAGGACGAAGCAGCACCCACTGGATACAACCTTCTGGTTACACTCGGGCACCAAGCAGGACACCTCTCTGTGGCGCTCCAGGAAGCCCTCGAACTCCTCCTCACTGATGAGGAATCTCTCTGCTTCCCTCAGGGCGTCTTTGCCACAGTTCTCACCCTCGATCAGGAGGCACTGGAAGACCTGGAAGGCGAGAGTGTTTCTGGGTAGGAGCCCTTTGTTCCTCCCCTGCTCCCCATGCCCGGCTCCTTGGTCCAAGTTCTCTCTGCCTAAGCGACCGACATCCCTTGGAAATGTTATCCTGGGAATGCAGAGCCGGCCCTGAAATTTAGGAATAAACACAAGTCTTCTTAAGAAATAAATTTCCAAATCTGGTTGAGCATGCTTGATTTAGACTGATAATCTAACATTTTAGACTATTAAAAGGGATGTTCTTTGAAAGGAACAGAGACTATAAAAAGCACAAAAAATAAATCATTTGTAAGCCCCCAAAGCAAGAAAAAAGTAGTTTCAAAATTTTCATGTTTCTGTTGACTTTTTATGTATTCTTATCAATACATCTCTAGATTTTCTCTGTTTTCACTCATAGCTAAATATGGTGACCCCATGATCCATCTACCTTCTAAAGTTGTCCCTCTAAACACATGGGATTTGGGGGGACATTCTGGATCTAAACCACAACAGGCTGGTAGAGGGACCAGTCCCAAAGCATCCAACTTGGAAAAATGGCCTTATTTTAATTCATAGGAAGGATGGCATTATCCTTTTCAAATAATTCACTGAAAACTCAGTAGCATCAGAATTTAGGAAGCGGATCCATCCATCCATCCGTCCGTCAATAAGCCAAGAGTTTTAAGTATAGCAAGAGATTCCTTAGCATGTCTTTGTCCTCTCTCCTCATGATATTCCAGAGGAAAATAGATTCCAGTTTCCAGGAGGGAAAAATAGTGCAAAGAAAACTATAGTTGAAACCCTAACAGAGCTGAAAGAAAGACCAAGCAGGACCTGGCTGAAGAGGTACAGAGTTCTCAGTGTCAGTATCATATTCAGTTTCACTGGAAAAGGTTGCTCCTGAGCAATTGTGCATTAAAAACAGCAAAAGCAACATGGTGGACCTACTTTCCAGCGCACAGGGTTGAGCACTTTGATGTGTTCTCTCATGTCCTCCTCCACGTTGAATCGATTGATCACAGAGTTGATCTTGAAGGCCACTTTGTACTCCTTACACCACTTATTCAGTTTCTGCAGGTTTTCCACGTGGTTCCTCTTTCCCTGGCCCCGGCCGATGAGGACATTGACTTGCTCATCAAAGCTGTCACAGGACACGGCGAGGATATCCAGGTACTCACCTGCAGGACATTGGGCATCTCTTACCAGGGCTGTGACAGCCCTTCCGGTCATTTGCCTCTCTTTATAATAAAACAGCTCATTTACATGTATGTTTCAAATTTTTTAAATGATCCTTTTTTTCACATGCACAAAAGTCTCTGAAATGCATATCATGCTTGATATTTGTGTCAAATAATCATTACAAAACCTATATATGCATAACAAAATGATGCAGATGCTTACCTTTGATCATTCTAAAACCCTTCTCATGAATGTACGGAAGCCTTATTAATTTATTTAAATGTGACTTTGGCACAGTAGCACAAGACTGTAATCCCAATACTGTGGGAGGCTAAGGCAGGAGGATCCTAAGTGAGTACCCAGCCCTGGCACCTTAGGAAGCCCATGTTTCAAAAAAATATGTATGTGTCTATATGTGTATGTACATGTGTGTGTATATATATATATATATACTTATGTGTATATATCCATATTTATATGTGTGTGTACATATGAATATCCATATTGGGTTCTTCATTTGTTCTTGCATAGAAATTGCACGCCTACAATCTTCCCATTCAGGGAGGCTGAGACATGAGGATTATATGTTTGATCCCAGCTTGGGCAACTTAGGGAATCAGCAAGGCCCTGTCTCAAAAGGAAAAAAAGCAGGGTCTGGGGACACAGCTTAGTGAGAAGGCCCTGGTTTCAATCCCCAATGTCATGAATAAATAAACTAATTAATTTTAAAAATCATATGATTTTTGAGGAAGCTTGATATCTGGGGAGGCTTCTAGACTTATGTGGGAGCAATTATAGATTTGCTTCTATTTTCCCATCACACACCTAAGATTACTTAGTAGAAGAGCCCTAATATTTTGTTTTTTGCCTAGTTCATTGGCTTCTTCTTGACATACCTTGTACACTAGATTTACCGTCTAGATATTTATAAAGTCTCTGTGTCATATCAGGCACAACCGAATTAGATGCTGAGGAAATCGAGATAAAGAGAAGCCAGTTTAGGAGCCAGGGTATAAAGACCCCTCCCTGCAATGCAGCATTTTGCTGGTCCTGCCATCGGGTCCCTCCTGGTGCATAGAAGATCTTGAGCAGAATCCTCAGCTGCTGCCAGCTCTCTACCTATCTGGGAAGGACAGTTCTCTGTGACTGTTACTCCTTCAGTGGAGAAACAGCTTTTCCTGGTTATGTCTTCCCAAAGTTGACTGTGTTTTCTCAAAACACTTTCAAAGTCTAGAAGTTAAGGGTTGCAAAAACTCTTTAAGTAACTATTCTCAAATATTATGAAAAGAATAATTTTAGTTCCTCTTTGGGGCCTAACTTTATGTTGCTCCTAAGGAACGAGGGTCCAGCACAAACTGTAACCAGAAGCAGGTAATCACTGTGACTTCAACCAGCAATTGAGAATGTTGTTGGAATTGATTTCAAATAAATTCCTGATGGGATATCACATACGGAGGAGGCAACCAGCTGAACATACAGTCTCTAACCAAAACCAAACAGAACAAAAGCTCAAAACCAAACACAAAAAACCTTCCAGTTCCATCAAAGGTTCGTCTGGTCGATTTCCAAGTGAACTGAGGATTTCTAAGTCGGGGCTGAATTCTTCTGCTTTTTGCTGTGTTCTCCATAGTCCCCTTCCTGTTCTTGGCCTCTGCTCACATCTCTTGGGAAGAAAGATTTAAGCCTCTCCAGTCCCTGCCTGTGCAGCGCTTGCAAACTTCCAGCTGTCTCCAGTTGGTGGCGCTGCACCCTGAAGCTGTAGGGCGCCACCTGTCAGGACCTGTCAGGAAAGCTTAGGACGACCCATGATGGACGACCTTGGCTGTATTGTTGGGGGTTCTGGCCACTGTGGCCTGTCAACAGAATATGCCCGAATGACTAGCCTGCATAACAGCCTTGGCCCCTAAGACTCCATGGAGCTTTCCTGAGCAAAGAGAGTCTAGTCATTTTCTCGCAGCTTGCCTTTACCTTGTGCTTTTTGCTGTGTCCTTTGCTCTTAGAAAGCCCCGCTAGGAGTCCACCCCTTGCAAACTGCCAGCTGCCATGAGTCAGTGGCAGCTCTGACACAGCTGTCCCTTATCACCCAGCCACACACCGAGCCCTTTGAAGTCGGAGGGACCATTTTGTTTGTTCCTTGAGCATCTAAAACTATTTCAAATTATTTGCAACTATTTTTAATTGGGAGGTTTAAAATACAATGTAGATATTTTATGTGTCTTTAATAATTTAAGCATCTGGCGACCTTCTGTCGAACCAAAAATCAAAGTGGCTGGCTGGCCACTTGACCATTACGAAGAGGGCTCGGCAGTTCTCATTCTCAGGCCCGGTAGACTTCACACTTTCCCACTGTCCTCTCCCAGGAGTGCTGGGTTTCTTACCCGCTTCCAAATGCACAAATGCAGACCCTGATTCAAATGCACACACTGCAGCATTCACCCCTGAAGGTAGGGGTCCTCTACCCTCTACCTCACATGGCAGGGACAGGCTGTGGAGCCACCCCAAGGGTGAATGCTGCTTAGGTTCAGCTCCAAATCCTTCACTTAGTCTCTGCTCAGACTGCTTTCTAGACCACCTTTCTGTCTCTAAGCCTGGTGCCCAAGCTGGCTTTGAACCCCGAACTGGTTTTCTTGGTGTTTTCCCTTCACTGATACCTGGCTTAGCACGTCCTCTATCGGTTCACCTTCCCTTGAGAACGAGTCCGTATTCCTGCTTCCCCTGCATCAGACAGGCTGCTCACATGCACAGCCTGAGTCCTCATCCTGGGAGGAGAATCTGATCAGTGATCTCTGCTCGACATCCCCAAGGCTCAAAAGGGCCGGCTTCTCTCCCAGTGATCTCAAAGCCCAAACAGCTCAGCTGCCAAAAGGGGAGAATGGCACTGTGGCAGTGAGATCATAACTAACCCCCCCCAAAAAAGCAAATATTTTATTAATAGTAAATGCTTTTCAATATTCCTAAGTGCCAAGTATTGCTCCACATATACTACACACATGTGGTCTTAGTAGTGAGGGATCTCAGTAGTCTTAGGACCCAGGGGTTTTAAATCCTGGTGACATAGGAGATTTCCTTGAAGTTCCCAAGTTGGCCAAGCCATCCACTGTTAGCATCTGCTATAGCCTGAATCCTCTCCATCCTAGCAGAAATATTCTATCACACAGCCACGAAATGTGTGAATTTTTCTCAGAAGCATCTGAGCTTCTGATCATAGATCTCAACCCTTGCTAAGGTGAGCAGCAGTCCTGATTGTGACATCTCTGGCATCTGGTGGGCGCTCTTGTTTACTCAGAGCCCTGCAGAGTCACAGGCTCCTAACAGCACTCACAGCTCGGCAGAAGGTTTGGATAAGCAGGACTTGTTTTTCTTTTCTTCTAATTCCCCAGAAGGTCTGGCCTAGGGCCCAAGGTGGAAGGAAATACAGGAACCGACCCTGTCAGCAGTGGTGATTAAAGCTCCCCTGCCCTCCAAGGACACTTACCGTAGTCCCTGAACCACCTCTCGCGGATCAGGCTCCCATTACTCACGACACTGACACTGGGCAGACCAAGCTCCGCTTTGCAAAACTTCACGAGCTTGCCCAAGTATTCGCCTCGGTCCTGGAGAAAGGGCTCCCCACCAGAGAAGTTGATCTTCTCCATACCTGCAAGAGGAGAAACAGTTTCCCCTTCACACGAACCCACTTTCATCATTTTATTTAGCTATATAGTATCAGCAGTGCCTCATGCACGCTGGCAAACACTCTACCAAGAAGCCTAACCCAACTGCATCCTCTTCCTTTTTTTTCAATGACGAAAGTAGCATTTCCTCCATAGGAAATAAAAAAAATGAAATAAAACTTTCTCCTCATCCTCCCCTCCCTCACTCTAGTTCTCAATGTCAAATGCACTTTATGGGGACAACTATGCATTTCATTCAGAGTCTAAGTGGAAACAATCACTTGAAGACTCTGTCTTTGTTCTCCTTCTTCCTAGTTTAAAATAGATGCTCTTGAACTTCAGGAATTCAACATGCAGCTCGAGAGAGATTTCCTTTCCTGACAAAGAGAACAGGGAAGCTCCCTGGGAGGCTTGATGCTGATTCTCACCACTGGTCTTTTAGGAGGCGCAAGAGGTTAGAGATCAGCTAAAAGTGATGGTTTACTCTAAACACATGGTTTTTCTTGGGAGATCAGAGGCAACGGATGAATGTCAAAAGCCCCTGCAAGGTCCGCGGGGACTAAAGCTGGACCACAAGGTGGCCGACTTCAGTGGGCGAGATGAGCAGCAAGCAGGATGTGGCTGAGGTGCCTTTTGCAACAAGGCACGCGCTGTGTGAGCTCTTGCCCAGAAGGTATAGATTCGCGGGCACACTCAAGGGTGTGCAAGGAAGGAGACAGCTAGTGCTCACCTCTGGGGCACAGCAGGTGCAGGGTGGCAGTGCCTGGGGAATGATGCTCCAAGGTCCACTTTGTGAAACCCTCAAGCTACGCACACTGAGGACGTGCCTGCTACACTCAGCTAGAAGTTAGGCAGGGAGGGAAAGATGTCAGCCACACCGCTAAACTGCCAGTTGCAGAGGCATTTTAGGGATGACAGGAAGATGGGATGGAAGGAAAAGCACACTTCAAGGGCAAAGTACCACATCATATGTCCCTGCCGATTCCTGCAGTCATTGATGTGTGACACCCGGGGGGGGTGTTTAAGAACAAAGTCTCTGATATGTTTGTTAAAAATCATTTCTAAAGTTTTTTTTGTTTTGTTTTTTGACAGTGATCCTCCTGCCTCAGCCTCCTGAGTGCTGGGATCACAGGTGTGCATCACCACACCTGCCTTTTCTAAGCTTTTTTTATAAGAGCACACACATAACCCAACTTAAAAGGCTTCCATGTTGCTGTTCTTCCTCTGAAGAATTTGTTTTTAACTTTCCTCATTAAATGTTTCTGGAAGAGCCAAGTTGCTTCATGCTCTGGATGAACTCTGAAAGCAGCAGCGTGATTCCAGACACCGGGTGGCACAGGGTCTCCATGGCACAGACCTGGGCCGCAGGTGGCCAGGAAGGCTCTGCTAACCAACGCTGCACTCCAGGAACGTCTGGGTGCCTGCCCCGAACCCACTTTGCCCTCTTTGCTAGGCAGAGCCTCTGCAGCTGAGCACCCTGATTTCTTTTGGGGACCGGGACTCACCGGCTTCCTTGAGCAGAAACAGTCCTCTCTTGGCCTCCTCCAGGGGCAGAACGAAGGATGTCTTGGCCGTGTGGAAGCAGAAGCCGCACTTGTAGTTGCACTGCCGAGTGAAGTGGTAGTTGACACTGGTGGGAATCGTGCCATCCTCCTCCTCTTCCTCCCGGGTCCCCTCCGGTTCTCCCCCAAGCTGCTGCTGTCCCTTCTCTGCAGCTGACCACCACAGTGCTGCCCGCAGCCAGCAGAGCAGGGTGGCCAGGCTCCCCCACAGAGAGCCCAGCGGCTGCCTGAGTGTACTCAGCATCCTCCCGGCCAGGGCCGTGGCTACCAGCATCCCCATGGCTCCTCACCGGGACCCTGAAGCCTTCCTATGCCTTATATGACAGTGGAACCTGGCCACACCTCCAGGCAGCCCGGCCTCAGGGAGGGGCGCGGAGGGAAACACACATTTCCTTTGAGTAATGCTTGGCTAAGTTTCGATTTTCTTCTCTCAGAAAATGAAAGTTGGAACACAGCCAAGACTGAAGACTCAGGACGGGCTGAGTCCCTGCTTCCATGTGGCTTAGGGTTTGCTGCTGTCCACCTGTCTAAGTGCCAGTCATTCCTAAGTGAAGGCGTCCCAGCAGGACCAGAGCCACCACGGTTTGTCTCCACCTGCCTGTCCCAGGGTTAGAATCCCTTATCTGACAGGCTTTGGACAAACACGTTTCAGATTTGGGATTTTTTTTTTTTCAGATTTTGGAATCTTTGCATAGTCTAATCAGGAAATTAATTTCTATTTCATATTCATAACCACCATGTGCACATAACTGACAGTTATGTTTTGCAACATTGTTAATAATTTTGTGCAGGAAACAAAGGCAATGTGTCATGTTAGTATTCAAAAAGTTTTGAAGTTGGAGCATTTCAGATGTCCAAGCTGTATCGCTGTGTCTTGCTCCCTGTCACCCTCTACAAGGTGGGTAATCAGGGAAACTTTATTATTAAAGCCAAATAAACACAACTACCATAGGATCCAGCTACCTTACTACTGGCATTTATCCAAAGGAAATGAAATCAGCACCTCAAAGAGATATTGGCATTCCCATGTTCATTGCAGCATGTTCATGATAGTGAACATATGAAAGTATCTTAACTGTCCATCCACAGATGCATAGGGGAGAAAGCTGTAGTACATGTGTAAGATGGAGTACTATTCAGTCCCGAAAAGGAGAGCCTGTCATTTATAGCAACATGGATGGATCTGGAGGACATTATGTTGAATGAAATAAACCAGACACAGAAAACCACACACCAGTCAATCTCACTTTTGTGCATGGCATTGCTAATTGTGGTGTCAACTTGAATAAGAAATGCCTAGCTTGGGCCAGGGGTTTAGCTCAGTGGTGCCGCTGCCTGTCTAGAAATACCTAGCTTGATGTGTAAGCCACAAGTTGAAGAGGGAAGACCCACCCTGGATGTGAGTGGTACCAACCCCAATAGGTTTGAAGCCTGGAGGGAATAAAAAGGGAGAGAAGAAGGCCTACCCTTCTGTTTCTTGGGAGGAGCTCAGCTTTGGCCATTACCCTCAGACGTGTACCCCAGTTCCTCAGGCTTCCAGCGCAGCCCCTTAGCTTTCTGACAGGGATCCACACTGGCTCTGCAGTGAGCTCCAGGCCTTCAACCTTCAGCTGAGGCCTTGGTGCTGCTCTGGGAGAAGGTCGCCGTGCATCTCGCCTGATCCCACAGGTGCTGTCCTGAGCCTCCTTTGTGAACCCTTTCTGCATCCTGTGCTAATACAGTTAAGTCACGGGCTCCTCTATGGATGCTGCCTGCTGCAGTGCAAGGTCTAATTTCAACTTGTGGAAGTACAAAGCAGTCACCAGGGATCAGGGACCGGAAGATGTGCAGAAATGTTGGTCAAAACATGGAAGGAAGGGCCGGGGGTTCAGCTCAGTGGTGCTACCAACTGCCCTGAAAGCACAAGGACCTGAGTTTGATCCCTGATACCACAAAAAAAAAAGATGGAAGGGATGAGCTTGAGAGATCTATCACGCAACGTGAAGACCATGATTAATGTCAGGGGACAAATTTTTTAAAGAATTACTTGAAAAAATGATGACTGTGCAGTCTGTTGGCCTCAGGGCTCCTTTTCGGTGGCAATAAAAACATAAGACATAGTGGAATTTATGTCTTCCCCCTTCTCTAGCTATTCATTTTAATCTGTGCACTGCGGTCGAGTTAAAATGTGGACGTTTATATTTTGCTGCATTTTGATGCCATTTTTAATACACAGTTTCACCTAGGAACAGCAGATGTTTTTCTGAGATGCCTCCTAACTGCAGCCTGTCACGTTTCTGAAGATCCTTGGGAAGCCCTGTGGACTCTGGCACGAAGCTGTTCCTCCACCGCTCTTTAATCAGGATGAGGGTAGCGCCTGTTACCTCAGGCGTCTTGCGGGAAGAGAGAACAAACTGGTGGCTGGACCCACAGAGTCACAACCTGGCTCAGGACTCAGCAGCCGTGTGACACTGAGCAGGTTACAGTCTTTTCTGGCTTTCCATTTCCTTGTCAGCAAAACCATCCCTCTCCTGCAATTTTTGCAGAGTAACAACTATTCTGATTGCTGATGCAGATCTGGACAGGTACTGGTAAACAAATGCTCAGCTAGGTTAGCTATTGTTCTTGTGAATGGAAACAGAAACTACTCAGGTTCCACACAGGGAAACTGAAACCAAATTCTGCAAAATAGCAGGCTTGTGTTTAATCATTGCCAATTAAGCACCGTACATAAGTCCTAGTCCTTGGAATTGTGTTACCTAGAGGGAGTTGCCTAACGCTGGGTAAAGTTCTTTACTTGTTTGATTTTGCTAATATGTGTAGAAAACATGGATAGTAATTCACATGGGGCATTTTAAAGATTGGATGACATGATATAGATTAGACATGGAGGGTAGTACTTGGCATAGCAAATATTAGAAATAGCTAATATGGAATTGGGTATGGGGATGCATGCCTGTATAAGCCCAGCATTCTGGAAGCTGAGGCAGGAGAACTGCTGTGAATTTGAGCCCAGCCTGGGCTACATAATGAGTTCAAGGCCAGCCAGAACTACACAGCAAGACCTTTTCCCAAAAAACCAAAAAAACAAAATCTAGTATGTGCCTGTCATATGTTGAATTTTTCATGTGCTAGTTTATCTTAAAACTGATGATGACATAGTCCAGAGAGAGTAGGAGATGAATTGAAATGTAAATACTTGCGAGAATGCTCAGTCCTTGGTTATTATGACCATGTTACTTTATTATTGCTGTCCAAGCCTCCACTATCCAGGCTACTTTCTTCTAATCAATCATTAGTTCATTCATTCATTCAGATATTCAAAAATGCGTTTTCTTTGTTTTCTTTTTCCTTCTTTCTTTCAGCAAGTGTTTATTAAAAGACTCCTGTCTATTTGATAAAAAATATTAATAAATATGAAGTATAAATAGATGAGTCAAAATCCATGCTATTGCAGAACTCACAAAAGCGACAGTTGCTTTGCTGATCCTCGAACACAGGCTGATCCCCCCTCCCTTCTCAGTTAGCTCACCCCAGGGTCAGGCTGGAGGAGACTTTGTCTAGAGTGTGTTGGTTATCTAAAGCAGAAGCTATGAAGCCACAGGGATGGATTTTCACCCTGAGAGCTGGATCAAAGTCTCCACAAATAGAACCTTGAGTTTCTTCTTTTTGTTCCTTCTTCTTCTTCCCTTTCCTTCCTCCTCTTCCTCCTCCTCTCCTTCTACTCCTACTCCTTATTTTTTCAGAACTGGAGATTATACCCAAGGCCTTCACACTGAGCTAGATCCCCAGCCCTTTATATTTTTATTTACTTACTCAGTTTTATTTTGAGACAGGGTCTCACTAAGTCACTAAGTTACCTAGGTGGGCTCAAACTTGTGATCCTCCTGCCTAAGCTCTCCAGAGTGCTGAGATTATGGAATTTTCTTTTCAGCAAACTTCTGGGCCTGCTGTTCACTGAGCTCACTAGATTCTACATATTCCCAAGATACTCTCCCAGCCTGCATTTCACTGGCCTCTCCTGAATGTTCTGACAGAGGCAGATTAGATGGAGCCAGGTTCCATTTCTCACCTGATGGTTTCCAGACTCCTGGTTTTCCTTGTAGCTGCCAGAGCTCAGGGAGAAGGAAGCAGCCTCAAGGAGAAGAGGTCTTCCAAGTCATGGCCCACAAAGTGCCCTCCCCATTAATATGACGTGGGCCTGGTCTGAGGTCAAGGCATCCCCTGCTTGCTCTTTACCTCTTGGTAGTTGGTTATCTTTAACAGAATCCCAAAACAACTGAATAACAGCCAAAAGTCACCAACATGTCTGTAGTGGGGACCCCTCCCCCACATACCTGCACATCTGTAATGTTCTCTACTCACCCTGACGAGGATTGAATATGAACAGGGGCTGCCACCTGCAGGGCACTCTGGACTCTGCTCCTCTTGTTGCAACCATCCTGTTCTCTCGGAAGCTTTTTCTTGAAGCATAACTGTCACAAAGAGAGACGCTCCACTGATAAAGACAAGGCATAGTGAATGCTCACAGGATGAGTATGTGCTGCCCTGGCCTTTCTGATGAAGAAGCAGAAGTGCAGGAAGACCTCTAAGCCTCCATGCCCCTTCCTCAGTCACTGAGCCTACCTCTGCCAGGAGATAATCTCGCCCTCTTTCTCAAAACCACACTCTAGTTTGGACAACTGAAAACCCTGTACATAGGGCCACACCGTACATATCCTTTTATGTCTCCCCTCTTTGGCTCAATGCCATATGTGCAGATTCAACCACTTGGATGTGTTTAACAATGATTTGTTCATTTTCATACTGTATAGTGTGCCATGAAGAGAATGCAATTAGTTCATCATTCTATGAAAATGAAACTTTGGAATGTTCTGCTACTGGGCCACAAATTTTCTTGCACAACTTTGGGTCCACATACACTTGCGTTTCTGTTGGGTTTGCAAAACCACTTAGTGGAATCCAGTTGATGACAGAACGCCTGGCTGATAAGGGACACAATCCCCAAGGTGCTTGTCTCCAATGGCTTTCCAAAGTGGTGAAAAATATCAGGACTCCAGTCACTGGAATTTTACCTTTCACTTGCTGTTGTCATTGTTTTTCACCTTGGTTCATCTTATCCATGAGCACAGAGCTCACAACTCCTTGATTTTCCAGTTTTCTGCTGAATTACATGGTTAAGCACCTTTTTATATGTTTTGGATAATGTTTTGTGGTGTGCCTGTTCAAATCACTTATCCATTTTTGTATAGGGTTTTCTGCATTTTATTGTTGATTTGTTGGAATTCATTGTGTATTGTCCATTTTGTGTTATGTGTGTTGCAAATATCTTCTTTAGCTCTTTGGCTTTTTGCTCATTATGGGTCTAGAATTCTACGCATGAGTGCGTGTGTGTGTATGTATGTGTGTAAATAAGTGAAATATCACAGTTCTTTAAAATGACAGCACTCTTTCCTGGGATATTTACTTCTTTTTCATTCTTTTGTGTATGTGTGTTGGGGTGTGCTTTAAGGTCACAGGACCACCCTGGAGCTCCCTGATTTACTCAAAGACAGGCACTTAGGTCTCCTGAACTCCTAGCTAGGGTGGATTCCAGCAAAAGGAAGCAGGGAGAGAAAGATTCTGGAAAACAGAGACTGGAGAGGTGGGCATGGGTCAGCACCCTTCCCTGCCTGGGTGGCACCAGGAGTGCCTCCTCTCCAGCAGTGAACTACAGGGCCATGTTTGAAGTCACTGGCCTGGGGTTCTCTGGAGGCCTGGACCTGGTGCCCGCTCTGAATGTGTCAGCTGTGGTAATCAGACCCCAGGACGCAGGAACAAATGAGGTGTGCACCATCCGTCTTGGTACTTGTGCTCAGTGCCCAGGCAGGTTGGTGTGGGCCAAAGTCTGCACTCATTAGTAGAGAGCTGCTTCTCTTCTCAGGAGGTCACATTTCTATGGTGTGGGCAGGGATCAGTCATGCCTGCGGGTCTCACAGAAGCAAAGAATGGGCACAAGGATCTGTTGGGTGGACATTTCTTCACAGGGAGCCACATAGATTTCATTTCTTAGGGAGAAAACCAGCTCCACAACACACCACATGTCCCAGACTGGGAACTCACAAATGTACCCCCCAAAAAGAGAAGAAAACACCTGGATTATGTTAAGAGAGGACCTATGCATTCCCTTATAGTTACTTATATACTTGCTTATTGCTTTTCAAACCTCTCACCAACTTCCTTCCTGGATTTGAGTTTAAAAATCACACTTTCTTGCATTTACTTCCTTAATTCATATTTTCTTAGCTTCTCACCTACTTTGTGATGTTCAAATCTGTTCATGTAGCGTTGAATGTAATATTCTCTTTCTTTTGGGGGTCCTTTTTATTAAATCTGTGCTTCTATCTTTTTGTCTCTTCTTAGTATTCTGATTTTCATTTCCTTTTTTTCCAACTTGAATAGACTACCTAAAACACGTCCATTTCAGCTACCTTTCACAAATGAAGCTCTTTTTATTTCATTATTTATTAATACATGTATATATAATTCTCCCTTTCTGTATTTATTTTTCCCCCTTCTGTCTCACTTTCTCATTGCTGGGACAAAATATACAACATCCACAACACAAGTTAAAAGAGGAGAGGTTTATTTTGGCTCACAGTTTGTAGAGGGTTCAGTCCATGGTTGGCTGGATCCAGGGCAGGGCGGCATGGTAGAGGGGGCTGGTGGGGGAGAAACAGTCCATGGCAGGGTAGTGAGGAGCAGAGAGCCATCAAGGGAAGATGAGGGTAGATACCATTTCAGGCCACGCCCACAGTGACCATCTTTTCCCACCAGGTTTCACCTCCCAACATCACACCCAGGTCTACACTCATTAGTGGACTCATCCAGTACCACACACCCATGACCCAGTCACCTCCCAAAAGCCACACCTATGAGTGCATGAGGCTTTGAGGGGACATCTAGATATAAACTATAATACTCTAGGTGTGTACAAGTATACAAGAGCATGGCTTTCCCTAAGAATACAATTATGCTATTTATCCATTAATTCAGAGACCTCTTTGAAGCATCCTCCCAGCTTCCAGATCCCCGCACCATAAGGATAGGTTACTACTGGAGCTTATTTTATCTAAACAACAAGCTGCAACCATTAAAGTCTTCTGTCCTAGGAATTTTAAATCAGCACTGAAAAATATGACCAGGATTTTTCTTTCACGAATCAAGATATCATATCTTCAATATCATCAACACATATTTCCTACTGGTAAGAGTCCAGACACCACAGAGGTCTGGACTTAGCACAGAGGTGGGTGAGAGTGGACAGGAAAATTTAAGAAAAGATATGTTTTCATTTATCAAGTGACAAACCAAGCTGTCTTTCTATGGGAGGTTCAGAGGCAAGAGTGGGTTAGTATTTTTCTGCTCGGGTGCAAGGTGCTCGGGGAGGGAGGCAGGTGGTTAAGTGAGGTACATAGCAGTCTGGAGGTGCTTTTTCATGATGGAGAGGCCAGGAACCTGGGTAACTGAGGATCCACAGGCTACACTGTGCCCCAACCCATGCACCTGATGAATGTGACCACACTCAGAGCTGAGGTCTTGTCTGAGGGTTACATTTCAGCAAGCCCATTAGTTTGGGCCCTGACACAGCTGTGTCCTTGTCAGAGAAACTGCACAAGGCCCCAGGGATGCCGGGACGAAGGACCTTGTGAAGATACAGGAGAAGATGGTGGTCTGCAGCCTACATTAGCCCCAGGCGAAACCCAGCTGCAGGCACCACCATCTTGGACTCCTAGCTCTGTCTCGGCTGCTTGGCCGAGTCTCTTGTTATGGAAGACACAGCACACAAGATATCCAAGAGGGGTTTGTTCGAGAAAGGGGAAGCGGCCTGGTGGTGCCTGTAATTCCAGCACTCCGGCAGGCTGAGGCAGGAGGATTCCAGGTTTGAGTTCAGTCTGGGCAGTTTACAGAGATCATGAAAAATGGTGTGGGGTGTAGCTCAGTGTGAAGGCCCTGGCTTCAATCCCTAGTACCACAAAAACGAACACAAAAATAAAAAGGGGTTCCAGGAAGTCTGCTGATTTCATATAGTATCTACATGTGAAAACATCTCTTCACATTAAACGTCCAAAAGCCAAATTACTCAGAGAAAAAGCAAGGAGAAGGAGCAAAGGAGGGAGGGAGGGAAAGCATTCTGTCCTCAAAATGCTAACAATGTCTCCAGAGTCATCATTTCCTTCTACCTCAACCCCCATGTGCAAGATTTCATGTTTGTTAAAACGTTGTTTTCTTTCAGAATAAAACATATCCCAAACTTTAACCCCATTTAAGACATAAAAAATTGATTGCTCTTAATTCTCTATGATCTTTGTGTCAATTTTAAAGTTTTGCGATTTTCCTCTACGTCCTTTGAGAAGTGTCAGGTTCTTTCTTGCTTGCTTGCTTGCCTGCCGTGTTGGGGGAATGGAACCCGGGGCTTCACATACGCTGAGCGAGTGCTCATACCATTCAACTCCACTGCTAGCCGGACAATCATTATTTATTTGTTTATTTGTTTGTTTATTTATTTATTTATTTATTTATTTAGTATTGCTACTGAAAATTGAACCCAGGGCCTTCCTAGTAAGCTACAATCCCAGTCCATTTCTCATTTTGTTTTTGTTTTGGTACCGGGGATCGGGGATGGGACTCGGGTCCTTGCAGGCAGCAGGCGGAGAAAGTACTGAGCTAAATCCCCAGCCCTCTCATTTTTTTTTAAATCTTGAGACAGGGTCTTGCTAAGTGCCCAACTTGGCCAACCTGGGCTCAAACTTGTGGTCCTCCTGCCTCAGCCTCCTAGAGAGCTGGGATGACAGGTGTGCACCCCACATTCAGTGACAACCCCTGTAAGAAGTCATGGAGACTAATGCTTCACACAGCACCCACCGTCCAGGAAGACGCCGGCCGGCCGTGGCTGACAGAAGGCAGGGCGAGCCTCCTTATCACCTGGGTGCAGGAGCCTGCAATGGGTGCATAAAGGGCAGTTTCGAGAAGCCCGGGAGTGCAGCAACTGCCATTGTGAGCCCATCCCAAAGGGGCGCTTCTGAGGAGGCAGGAAAAGCAGCCCAGCAGGTGGGGTAGAAAGCTGGCGATTGGAGTTAAACCTGCGGGAGGAACCCCGACCCCTCTCTCCACCCCACCCCAGCACTGGGCACCCTCTGGGGAGCTCGAAGCAGGGCCTGGGGCCACCGGGGATCCCGGCCCGAGCGCCCGCATCCTCCTTAGGTGACGAGGCCCGAATGACGCCCGCCCGAGGTCCCCGCAGGCCCCCGACTCGCGGAGCCCCGGGGCCAGGCGCGGCCATTTCCGCGCAGGCCTGGCGGGGGCGGGGCGGGAGCCGGGCGCCCTCGATCGCCGCGCCCTGCGTCTTCGCTTTCGTTTCCCGGGCGCGGCCTAGGGCGGGGACGCCAGGCGCCAATGCCCTTGGGGACTCGGCCACACTGGCCCCGGCTGCCCAGGCGCCTGGGTGGCCCTGGGTGGCGGCGGAGCGGGACGTGCGCCCCGGCCATGGCCTCGCCGCGCCGTTTCGCGCTGGAGCTCGCGGACTATAGCCTGGCTCACTTCGCGCTGGGGGAAGCGGAGGCGGCGGGCGCGCGCCCCGACCCGCGCCTGTGCGCCCTGCTGGGGCCCCCGGGGCGCAGCTTCGCGCTGTGCGTGGCGGCGGCCGCGGGGGGCGGCTGCGGGGCGCGCGTGCAGGCGGCGCGTGTGCACCAGCAGCTGCAGCTCCAGCTGCGCCAGGGGCGGCCTTTCCAGCAGTGCCAGCTGCTCAGGTTGCTCGGCTACAGCCCTGGAGACCCGGCCGCCCGCCCTCAGCACGGCTTCCTGCTGCGCGACCCCGGCGCCAACCCGGACACGCGGAGCTCACTGCTCGACGTCCTTGGCGCCTGCCCAGAGCCCGCGCGCCCGCAGCTGGGCGAGTTCGAGACGGACGAGAGCGGCGCGCTACGGCTGTGGCTCTGGGCGCTGCGCGGGGGCGAGCGGCAGCAGGTGCGCTGCGCACGCGTGGTGCCGATCCTGGAGCCCCCGCTGCACCCCGTGGTGCCCGACTTGCCCGGTTCTGTTGTCTTCCCAGACCGGGACGCCGCCCGGGCTGTTTTAGAGGAGGTAAGAGCTCTTTTCTTCAGCTCTGTGTGTGGACCACCCTTCCAGACCAGAAAGGGACCAGGCAGCCTGCCCGCTGGCGAGCTGCCCTCTAGAAAGCATTCTTGGGGGAGTTGGCATCCTAGGGCATTGGGAGGCTGAGGCAAGATCACAGTTGGAGCCCAGCTTGGGCGACGTAGCGACTGAAGGACACCCATCTCAAAAGAAAAGAAAAGTTTAAAAAGGGGTGGGATGTAGCGTAATGCACAGGCATTGGGGGTGAAAGCTCAGCAGTAGAAAATAAATATAAAAACAGTCTTGCCTGGGGCAGTTTGTTTATTCCTGCACTCAAATCAGATGGTGAAAGCATTCTGCATGGCGGGCTCTGGATTAGACCCTTGATCCTTTGAGATTCTTGTCTGGGAAGAGCTTCCGGCCTGCTGCAGAGGGAGCCCCAAGACCAAGATGGGCCCCGCTTGCTGTAAGTGCAGGGGAGAGGAGGAGGCCCCGCGACAGTGGAGGAGGCCCCGCGACAGTGGAGGATAGCGCAGCCCGGAAGAGCTGTCCTTGGCAGTGGCCACATCCAGCTTCTCAGAGCTCACGGGGCATGAGTTTGGGGTGCAGGCGCTTGGATTTAATCCTCAGACTCCAGTCTACCTCCTTGCTGTCCACACGTTTCCTCTTTTTGTCTGCAAAACATTGGCGTTGCGGCGATGTCTTGATGAGTAAGGAAGCTAGTGACTCATAGCAGGTGCTCGGGAAAAGAAATCAGGGATTTTTTTCTGATCCTAGCAAGGTTTGTGGCTGTAGCTGGGTGCCTTGCTGCAGATCTTAGGTTTTACAGGCTATGCACCAAAGCTGCAGAGTGGATGAGAGAGCAAAGCCAACCACATGGGGTTGAATTCGATCTCTTGCATTAATTGTCCACTTTGAGCAAGTTTCTGTGACTCTCCTTGCCTCCTGAGACAGGGTCTTGCTATGTGGTTCAAGCTCACCTTGAACTCACTGTGTAGTCCAGGCTGGCCTCAAACTCCTGGGGATCCTCCTGCTTCTCCCTGCTGAGTGCTGGGATTATACCCGTGAGCCACCACGATGGGCTCACAACTATCACATAAGTAAATATGGGTCTGGGGCTTTGGAATCGCTGGGGATGGGGTGAAGTCAGGGGCAGCGAGGGACTTTGAATCTCAGGCAGATACTGTGCTGCTAGCTTTGCCACCGTTCTCACCTCCCTGAGCAGTTGGGAGCAGGCAGGGCATGATGTAAATGCAGACTGCCTTGGCTGAAGCCCTCAGCTTCGAGGGTTGCTCTGTGCTTATAATCTTGGCACTCCGGGAGGCTGAGGCAGGAGGATTGCAAGTGGGAGCCCAGGCTGAGCGACTTAATGACTTAAGGAGGCTTAATCTCAAACTAAAATATAAGGAAAGGGCTGGGCTGTAGCTCAGTGCAGAGTGCCTTGGTTCAATCACCAGTACTGCAATAAATAAGTTAATTAACAAATAAAGTGAAAAACTTGAGTGACAGAGCTCCGGAGGTAGTTCGTTTCCCATGCCTGTGACAAACCCTGCTCAGGGAGGGCCTGAGGTTCATGGTGACTGCGTTTCACTGCCTGCCCTGATTTCCTCCTGGAGGGAAAGCTGTAGGTGGTGGGAGGCAGGCTGTGTGATCCAGATATCTGCAGTCCTTTTGAGCCTTAGCTACTTGTTATCAAATAAAGAAAGAGAGACTGGAGGCGTCCATAGGTGAATGGATGCAACCTGAGAATGTACTGTTAAGTGAAATAAGTCAGACCCACAAGCTCACATGTCATGGTTTCTCTTATGTGAGAAACTCAAATATTTACCTATATATATGACAGATAAATAGGAAGTAAGGAGAAGTTCAAATGATTTCCCAAATTACCTATTTCATAGTTTCAAAGCTATTTTAATATATATATGCCATTTTATTTCATTTGTACCACTAGTTTTGCTTAGCTCATTGAAAAGAAAGTTTTGTACTACTGTTTTGTTCTTCTTGGTGAGTCATTTTGTGTACATCTTTTATGCTGAGTAAGATTATAAAACACAGTATATTAACTTATTATTCTCTTACTATTTTGCTATGAAATTTTGTTTTATGTTTTTCATAAAACAAAGAAAATATTCTGACTCCATACTGAGGAAAAGTTACTGCGAAGTGCTTAGTTTAGCTGTGAGCATTGAGCAAGTTAGAGACGTTATCTGCCCCAGTACTTTCTGCTGATGGGGGTATTTTGGTTTCAGTGTACCCCCTTTATTCAGGAAGCCCAAGCAGTCCTCAACCTGGTTGACCAGTGTCCGAAGCAGGTGCAGAAAGGAAAGTTCCCGGTCATTGTCATCGAAGGCCTGGATGCCACTGGTAAGAGCGATTACTCTGTAACAATAGGCAATGGCATTAACTGCTGAGGTGCAGAAGTAGAAATGGTTTCCTGCAAAACAAAACTTTCTCCTGTGCCTTGGGGCCTCTGCTCTGCAGCAGCGTTGTGCCAGGCAGGTGTCGGGCTGCAGGGATGAGTGTGGCCCGTTGCCGTGGTCAAGGTGAGGTGGGTGAGGGCCAAGGCTCCCTGGCTGTGGGGGAGCAACAGGGGGACCAAGCCCAGCCTCCACAGGGATGTGGGGCAGGGAGTGTGTGGTGGAAGAATTGCAAGGGGGCTGGGGTGAGAGGTGGGGGTACTCCAAATGGAAGAGACGGTGTAGGCCCATCAACCAGCATGGTGTGTTTGGGAGCCATGGGCAGTGCGGAGTGCCTCTCTCAGACAAAAGAATGAGGAAATAGAGTGTCTTAGTCTTTTTTCTTTGGCTGGGACAAAATACCCAACACTCCTATTAAAGGTGAAGAGAGTTATCTTGATTCATGGTTTCAGTGGGTTCAGTCCATGGCTATCTGGCTCCAAGGCAGAAACAACATGGTGGAAGGGCCTGGTGGAGGAGAGCTGCTCAACCCGTGGCAGCCAGGAAGCAGAGAGAAGGGAGGAGCAGGGGACAGGAACGCACCCTTCCAGGTCTCCCCCCAGTGACCTCCTCCAACCAGGCCCCACCTCCTACAGCACAGTCAGCCCCGAACTCAAACATGGATGAATCCACTGATGCATGCAGCACCTCATGATCCAGTCATCTTCCAAACACATCAGATTTTGGAGGGATTTTTTAGATCTAAACCTTAACATGAAGGGAAAGAGCCTTTGAAACTTCCAAAGAGATGTGAGGACACAGCAGACCTGTGCTCCCTGAGATCAGAACACAGAGAGGGAGCAGTGCTGCTCCCAGGTCAGGAGGAGACACACGAAAAGACCTATCTTGGGGAGCACTGAGGCTTTTCCTTTCTCTGTCAGCTTGAGGAACCAGACTTCTCTTTTGAGTCGTGTGAGAGGTGGCTTCCATTTGGGTCCCTTTGTGTCACAACCAGGTAGACTGGGGCCCAGGCGGATGGCGGAGTTGGCTTTCCTGGATGCACCTGAGGGATCAGCTCAGAGAGGAAGCATCTCTGAACTCAGGTCACCAGCTGTCCTCACCTGAGTTATGCCATGGCCCAGGCCCAGTTGTGTTTATAGCCACAGAGAGGATTGTGACAGCATCATTGGGTTTTATTGATCATTCACTTGGGAGCTAATTTAGATTCTTTGGGATTACAAAAGATGCAGACATTTAGCCCCAGCCCATGTGTGCACACATGCAGAATTCACAAGGAGATTGTTTAGAGGGAGAAAAAAACCCATTCCGGGTGCCATGTGTGCAGCTGTATCCAGGCCCGTCAGCAGGGCGAGCTTGGCTAAATGCATTACCTTTCCCAGTGCCAAGTTCCTTCAGTGGTGAGATGATTCAGTAATAACTGTTGTGCAGGGTCTTCAGGAGGATTAAAGGTGCATTGTTGAGTGCATAGCTTCTGGTAGACTTGAGAAATAATCATTATGCTTAGGATTCATCTCAATAACGCAAGGAAAAGAGTAAAGGAAATGAACTGTTGATAATGTGGTCTTGGAAATTTAAACGTGAGAGAATAAAAAAGTGCAAACAGCGGGAACTCAGAAGCTAGTGAAGAGATGGCTGGTGCAAATTATCCTCAATTTTGTTTTCTTCCCGAACGTTCTAACACCAAACAGAAGATTCAGAAGTTCCACGGGGGCATCATTTAGTCGTCTCCAGCGAATGACAGGTTGAAAGCATTCTCTGCTTCTTCTAAGTCACTGTGAACTTTGGTGAGCAAGAGGGGTGGTGACGAGGACTCACTGTCTTCTGTGTGCGACCCACAGGGAAGACCACAGTGACGCGGTCCATTTCCAAGGAGCTTGGGGCGGTGCTCCTGCAGTCACCCCCTTCTTGCATGGGCCAGTGGAGGAAAATCTTCGATGAGGAACCAAGTATCATTAGAAGAGCTTTTTACTCTTTGGGCAATTACATTGTGGCTTCAGAAATAGCTGAGGAATCTACCAGATCTCCTGTGATTGTAGACAGGTGGGTGAAAAGATGCTTTGAACCAGGTATTTTCTCCCTAACGTGTGTGTGTGTGTGTGTGTGTGTGTGTGTGTACATATATATGCAAGTACACAATTGTGGTTGTTAAGTCAAACGACGTTATGCTCATGATAAGAATACCTGATATGTATTGGTTACTTACACCGGACATTTTATTAATTACTAGTACCTGGCATGTTGAGAATAATACAACATTATGTCAGTATCCAGAACAGTCACTGGGGGAGGTAGATAGTAAAACTGAAAAAACAGTTTATTTAGATCTTATAGAGGTTGAATAACTTGCCAAAGTGACAGAGCTTAAAAGAACGTGCTGTATTGGGGATGGTAATGAAAAGTCTCTGCCTTGCAAGTTTGGGTTTTCAGTGACTCACCTGGTTATTGGTTCGTTTGACAAACATTTCTTGGGCACCAAGTGTGGGCCAGACTGCTCTCAGTCCAGAGAGACCAGGGGTTGAGAAGGTGGACAGCGTCCTGCTTTCATGGAGTGTGGAGCACGCTGGCCAGGGTGGAGAAGGTGACAGCGGAGCCAATCCATGAGCTGGTGTCAGAGAAGCATAAATACTGGGAAGGGGACATACCAAGGTGATAGGTTGAAAAACGGCTAAACTCCTCCCAGATAGGACTACAGGCCTGTCTGAGCAGGCACTGGGACTGGACTCTGACCCAGCAGAGCCAGGTCTGAAGATTCCAGGAGAGAGAATGCATTGCAGAGAGGGGGTCCACCAAGAGCAGAGCTAGGGACAGAAGGAAGTTCAGGGATGGTGTGGGGGGGGGCGGTGACCAGCGTGAGCCGGTGCAGTGCTTTCTGGAGGAATGGGGAGAGAAACATGGGGCCCTCAGGCCAGGAAGAGGAGGGAATTATTCTGGGGGCTGCACCGCGGAGCCATTGCAGGATTTCAGATAAGAGAGCCACATACGCTGACTTCTACTTTTAAAACTCTGCACATGGGAAATAGCTTGAAGTGGAGCAGCGTGAAAAGGTATAGCAAGCGAGTGCCTGAGGTCAAAATCAGGAATGCAGAAATGATAACCACAGGGAGATTCCATTTTAACAGAGCTCCAAATCACCGTGACTCAGGGATACAGAAATCACAGTGAGATTCCATTTTGCCCCCTGAGGATGAAGAGGACTGAGTAGAATTTCCTAACACCCAGGGTTGGGGATGGTCAGAGCTCATGGGGACTCTCCTGGGGGCTGCTGGGGCACTGGCCTGGTCCCCTACAGAGCAAGATGAGGCTGTGTAGTGAGGAGAACATTACTTCTGTTCACCCACAAAACACGCACCGGAGTTTATTCCAGCTTTGTTTACAGGAGGGGCATGCTTGAGAAGACAAAAGCCCACTGCAGCAGAAAGGAGACTGCTGCACATTGAGAGACGGAGTGCTTTTCTGTCACTGGATGGAGGGTCTCATGTGACTTCTTTCCAGGTGCTTGGTGTCCTGAACAAAGAATCAGACAAGACCCATAGAAGACAGCGAGGGTGTGCATTTATTGGAAGTGGAAAAGAAGCAAGCGTAGGCTGGTGAACAGGCTCACAATGGCCCCAAGGATAAGGGAAAGGGGTTGTTTGTATCCAAAATTTCTGGATTGGCTCCCCCTTGCGCACAGAAGACACTGAGGCAGTTGTCCCATCAAACCCACATTTGTCCTGGTGCCAGACTTAAACCTCGGTATGGGAAGACTCTCCTGGTTCCCCCCAGATGTAAATGAAGGACCAGGAACAGAGTCTTTTGATTGGTTGTGTGTCCACATGCAGATGAAGGTTTGAGAATAGCATCTTCTGATTGGTCCTGCCATCAGTGCCTGATTCAAATGAGGGATTGAAGATACTGAATTCTGATTGGTTCCTGGGTGGCACTCACAAGCCCTGGAGTTTCCCAGGTCGTGTGTTCTGTGCATGTCCTCTTCGCTTTGTGACTTCTGACACATTCCACCTGTCGTTTGTCCGGTTGGCCCAGCCATAATCACCTACCTCAGTACTGCAGTGTAAACAAGTGTGCACGAATGATGCAACCACCATGTTGAGTGAAATCAGGTTGTAGAAAGCGATTCCGTAGAATAAATGCACGTAAAATAGTACAATCTGCGCCTTGTGGAGAGGTGTTGACACCCAACTGAAGTGCGCTGTCTATGTGCAGATAGGAAGGTGCTTGGTAAGGACATTGAGGGCTTCATGGCATGGCATTACTTCTTATATCACTCAAGTGTTCATTTCAGTTCCACTTACTTTTCCAAAGGCAGGCAATTGCAGTTAAGTAGAGGAAGAGCATTAACCATGTATGTAAATCTCAAGGAACTTCAGGTGAACACATCCAGGTAGCCTCTACCCTGATGGAGAACGAGCCCCTTGTGCCCCGCAAACCAACTCCTCTCCGCCTGATCACCCCGCAGTCACCTCCCCAGGGGAAGCTGCCGCCCTCCTTGCCATCGGCACAGATCCGCTTCACTTGTTTTTGAACTGCCCATAAACACAGTCACAGCATCAGTGCTGTTTGGACCTGACCTCTTTCTGGGATCCCTTTGTGCTGTCCTGCTTTCTTTCACTCTCCTCGGGTGCACATATGAGGTATAATAAAACTATATGGTCAACGTTTAAAGTAAGTTATAACAGCAAAATCCATGTTGCCATGAATCCCTCAAAATCCTCCCACGCTCTTTGAACACTTTTATCTCATTGTTTTAGCCACTTTCTGAAGCAGCTCTGGAAGTCTTCTTCCATGAGTGAATGTTTGATATAGTCAGTTGTATTTTAAGGGGAAGGGCTGAAATTTTCCTAGCAGGCTGTGATTCCGTGAGGCACATTCTTTTTTGGTCACCTCACCAAATCCCAGCAGTGCTAGTGTGGAGCTAGGTACTCATGGCCCGTGTCTTCCGGCTTCAAAAGGGGATGTTCCTGATCCCTTCTCTGCCTGCTTTCGAGTCGTGAGAAGCGTATTTTATCGGAGGGTGCATGTAGAAATGACTTCGTACAGTGTGTTGGCAGATTGCATTGGACTCCAGCTAGTGTGCTTTCCCTGGAGGCAGGATTGGGGATGCTAAGTGGGGGGAGAGTCTGCAGTTGGTGACGAAAGGGTTGTCACTGAGAGAAAGAGAGAAAACGGGCCCTGATTCTGCCTTGGTTTCCTTCTTTGCATCTGTGCACTGTCTGCAGTTTGGTGCTGTGAAGAGATGGTAGCATCTAGAAGATGGAGAGGAGCGGCACATTTGTGCTTTCTGGGTAGGTTGGTTCACGTTTAAAGATTTCAGTGAAATCCTCTTCATTTAGCACCCAGTCTTTGGGATGCCGTGGTTTGTGAGGTAACTGGTTAAGGGGGCGATGCATCCGTCCTGATACTGATAGTCACCACCTGATCTTGCTGGTGGTTTTTCTGCAACACAGGAGGCTTAAAGTTAAGATGTCAGCCTCAGTCTTCATACTGAGTATTTATTCAGTTCAGTGAACATGGAGTGCGTGCAGGTGCCAGTTTGAGGTTTGAGTGCCTAGGAAAAGATTTACTGAGCTTGGGATACAAAACAAGGGATGATTGAAATATATGGTGAATATTTAAATTAAAAAAAAAAACTGTGATAGTGAATGACACATTGCCATGAGTCCCTCTCAAACTCCCCTCTTGCTTCAAACATACTCATCCTATCGTCCTTGCCACTTTTTGCAGCAGCTCTGGAGTCCTCCTTCCTGATGGTCTTTATGAAGTGTGACAAAAAATATGGTGACTGCTGCTGCTGAGCACCATCCAACAGAAAGGCAACTCATAAAAACACGATGCTGTGTCCTCATCCACCTTAGTCACTGGATCCGGCATCATGTGACTTCCCCAAAGTCAAAGTGACCAAAAAAGGGAGACATTTCGAATCAATTCAAGACACGGAGGCAGCCAGGACAGTGCAACTAAAGACACTGAAGAAAGAGGACTCCAGAGCTGCTGCAGAAAATGACAAGGATGATGGGATGAGTGTGTTTGAAGTGAGGAGGGGGAGGATTTAGAGAAGGATCAAGAGCAATGTGTCTTTCACAGTAATGCATTAAAAATTTTTTTAAACATTCACCATATTTTCCGATCATGCCTGGTACATCATAGAGGAGGTGAAAGGAAGGATTTGCAAGGCACAAGCCAGTTAAGTGACCTGCAGGAGGGGTCCGGGCAGAGCCTGGGGAACTGGCAGCTGCAGTGGGCTGCAGTTCTTGGAGCTGATTTTGGGAGGTGCGCACGGGCTGTGAAGGCTGCCCGGGCCGACCGACTCTCAGATGCAGCTTCCTTTCCCATACTGTCTTTACTGTGCTATCAGCCTTTCCACGCCACAGCGTTGGCTAAACCAGTGTCCGGTAAGCATTGAGTGTTGTCTCACAGTGACAATGTGGTCGTTTTTTTCTAAAAGCATTTGTCTATTTTTGCAACAACTGGAAAAGAAAACAAAGTTGCACTATTTCCACTTTCCTGATGCAGAAGCCGAGACTATACTGACTCCATTGACTTTTACCTGTGTTCACAAAGGTGAACACAAAGGTGGGGAAGATACAATAATACTCAGCATTTGCAACACAGTGAGTTCCTTGTATAGATGCCGCTGTGTCCTCTTCACTCTGAAAAGTAGTTCGGGTCTAAAGTTATTAAGAATTTGGGATCTTGGAGAATTGAATGCAGTTACTTGAAAATACCTTCCTACATCAGCATGTTTATAATTATGCCGTAAATATTTGTTATAAGTGATAATCCTTTGATACCAGATCTGCAGTTTTGCATTTAGTTAACTAAAAGTGGATTACAATGTGAACAGAGAGAGGGTATCATAAGCTGTGCCAATAAATGAAATAATTCACGCTCATTCACTGATTCATGCATCCAAAGAACTCTTACTGCATACTGTTTATGTCGCAGATGAGGTTTTCAGAGATGACTAAAAAACATTTCCTAATCAAGGAGCTAATAGAGGAAACAAAAGATGTGATACCCACGAGCGATCAACTCTGGTTAGAAGAGGCACAGCTCTCACAGTGAGAAGCCCCTCCAAAGTCACAGGGGCGAGGGGAGTGGAGAGGAGCCGTGAATTCTGCCCGGGGCTTCTCTGGTGAGCTGGGATGGAAGAGGAGGGAAATCGCTGGCAGAGTTCTTCAGTCTTGCTGGTCTAGATGGGAAGGATCTTCCGCTTCTCCCAAGGAGGCTGAACCCTTTCCTGTCCACAGCGGAAAAGCACGGCAATAGAGGCTGATGCGATTTTTGTTCGTGGTTTTGATTTTCTTTTCCCAAAGTTGCATATGGTGGATTGTTTCTCTGTGCTGGAGGCCCACAAAGGGGTCTTCTAGCCATGTTCCCTAAATGTGGACGTCAAGGGCAAGTCCCAGGTTTTACTCTGCCAGGACATGGTGTTCAGCACAAATGAAGGGCCAGGGAGACTGTGGTCCCTGCCTTCAGTTATCGTCACAAAGAGGAACGAGTTGCCAGAGTGGTGCTGGAATCCAACCTCACCGAGCATGGCAGCCTCGAGTAAATGCTGAGCGCACTCATTACTACTGTTTATCTTTACTTTTAAATCATTTTGTAACGATTTCTTCCAGAGAAGAGATTTCATTGCTTCTTCTGCTCCCCAGGTACTGGCACAGCACGGCCACCTATGCCATCGCCACCGAGCTGAGTGGGGGGCTGCAGCACCTGCCCCCCGCCCACAACTCTGTGTACCAGTGGCCCCAGGACCTGCTCAGGCCCGACCTGGTGGTGCTTCTCACTGTGAGTCCCGAGGAGAGGATGCAGAGGCTGCAAGGCCGGGGCCTGGAGATGACCAGGGAGGAGTCTGAGCTGGAGGCCAACAGCATTTTCCGTCAGAAGTAAGTGCCCTGGGTCAGGTGTCCCTGGGAGCCAGGATGGCACCAGCCTTGGGCTGGGGAGGAAGTGTTCTTGTCTCATGCTGCTAGTGCAAGATGATATCCCCTGCCTGTGTGTCCTTCACGCCAGGGCCACACACAGCATTGTTATTTGTGAACCTGGGCAAGACAGGAAGTACTCCTGCCTCAGTTTCCCCAGTTGTGATATACTGGGCACAGAGTGCCAGGGAATGCGCTCAGAGTCAACTTTACAGATTAGATGCTTACCATGTCTTTGGCGTTTTATTTATGACTGGATGGGACCCTGTCATGTCTTTGCAAGGAAAACAGTAGCCATTTTTTAACAGTTTATACAGCCAAGGATTAAAGGATTGATTTGCCTAGGTTTCTGTAGCTATGAAGTGGCAAAACTGGGATTAAAGTCAACATCTGCCTGACTTCAGAGACTGTTTATTTTAGTGAGGAATTTATGAACACTGTCTGGGGTGGAGTGTGTGGCTCACTGGACCAGCTTGCTTAGCATGCGTGAAACCCTGGGTTCCACCCACAGCAGTGCAAGAACAAGACAGAACCAAAGACAAAAACAGGAAGAAGGTTATGAACACCAGTTTGGAAGAGTCAGGATGGCCTTATTGCTTGTGGCCCCATAACGCTCAGTCTACAGCACTAGTTTTATAGGGTAATGCCAAAATGGTTTACATAAATAAATAAAAATACCATGTCATGGTATAATAATGTCATAATATAATGAATTAAAATAAGCACTTTGAACTCGGCCTGGTAAGGCACACCTGTAATCCCAGCATTCTGGGAGGATGAAGTAGAAGGATCCCAAGTTCGAGCCCAGCTCGGGCAACTTTTAGGAAGACTCTGTCTCAAAACAAAAATAAACAGCTGGGGCTGTAGCTCAATGCAAAGGCCCTGGATTCAGTTCCTAGTGCCACAAAACCAAACCAAAAAAACCCACTTCACTGTACTTAAAGGCACCATGATAAGCAGTTTATTTGTGTTGATTCAGTTAAGCCTTGTTGCAAATCTGCAAGGAAGGGGCCACTTCAGTCCTCATTTTGCAGGTGATGAAACCAAGCATCAGGATGATAGGTGGTGTGACAGGCTCACCTGGTGACGGGTGGTAAAGCGGGTGACTTGGTCCCCAGCCCCACGAGGCCACAGAGCTGCTACCTTCCACAGGGACCAGATGTCTGTGCTTGCAGGAAGTGCAATCAGGTGCTGGCTTTGTGCGGGGAGGGGAAGATTTCGGGAAAGTCTTGGAAGAGAATGGAGAGGGAGGAATGTCTATGTGGCTTCTGCAAAGATCACTGGAGAAGTAGACTGGGGAGAAATTTTCCACTGGGCTGCTTTCTTGATCTCTTTGAGCCTCCCCTCCTTTCTGTACAAAATGAGGAATGGCAGTGGGGCCCCTTCTAAGGCTGCTTGGAGAATTAGATGAGAAAACTTGGATGGGATACTAATGCTTGGCAGATCATCACATCCAATACACACCGGCTATTAAACATGGTGTGTTATGACCATTTAGCAAACAGAACACATGGAACATCTCTTGTGGGCAAAGCTGGTTGCCAAAGGTTACAGTGGGAGGGATAAGGGGAAACCTTGCTGCCAGCTGTTTACATCATAGGAGGAAAATCAGATGTGTGGGAACAGGTGTGTGGAAAAGCAGGCCAACTGACCCTTCTCCTTGTGCCTGTCTCAGGGTGGAAACATCGTACCTCAGGATGGAGAACCCAGCCTGCCATGTGGTGGATGCCAGCCCCTCGAGAGAAGAGGTCTTGCAGACAGTGACACACTTGATCCGCACCACTTGTTATTAACATCACCTGCTCGGCCAGATACTGCCTCATCCCAGAACCCATGTCCTTGCCCTGTGCTGCGCAGCATCCCAAGATTTCTCTTACACAAGCGTATCGGGTGGCAGGAAGTTGAAGCCAACATGGTGTTCACTTTACCTCTTCAGCCGCTGTCCCCTCTGCTGGCTGATGGGCTTGGCAAACTTGTGCCTTGTCCTGTCCTGGCTGGTGGGTGGTGATTGCTTTCTGCCTGGGAAATAAAACATCTTCTTGGAGCATGGTTTGACCCCATCACTACCAACTTCTGGGAGGTTCGTCTTAGGCATAAAATGTCAGGTGTGCAGTAGATACCAGGAGGATCCTTGCCATCAGTGGAAAGCCCGAAGCCTCCCCTCCACCTGATTGCAGAGCGAATCACAGACGGCCAGCATTGCCTTCTTCCCAGCCTGGCACATGGCATTGTGAGAGCCTCCCTGTGTCTCCTGAGCTCTGGATCCTGGAGCCCAGGATTTCCCCAGAGCCTGGCCATCCATGACATCCCAGGTGCCATTGGCAGGTGAGGGTTACTTGCGAAGAAAGCATGATTTTATATTAGAGGCTCACAGCCCCTTCACATTGTCCCCCAGTCTAGCGCGTTAGACTCAAAGGCATTCAACCCAAGCTGCTCTGACTGCAAATGTACCAACCTTCTGTCATTATATTTTGCTTATTTATATTCCCTTCCTTTTCTCTGAAATATGGCTTTGAATGTAATGAGCAGTTTGAGCTGAACTGGATTCATTTCACTTAGCCAATCCAGCAATTTATTTATATTGATGTTTACATCATACATTTCCTCGGTGTAGGAGCTATGAGTCACTAATTAAAATCGGAGCCAAGGAGCTAAATGCAATGTTTGTTGTGTATTTTCATTACACAAATTTAATTTATCTCACTCAATAAGCACAGTGGTTCCTGGAATGGGATTTCTTAGTAAATTATCTTGCACATGAATGTCTTAATGATTGCATATACAGCAAGCTTTGAGGTCTGGTTGGCTAGAAAAAAAAGTAGCGGAGAAGAGAGGGAAACTTATTAGTTGTGTGGCCTTGACTGCCTCATTTAACATCAGTAGTTCAAGTTGCTTGACCTAAAAAGGGATAATAATTCTTTGTCTTAAGGAGAATGTTGATCTAGACGATTACCTAAAATTTCTTCCCGTCCTAAGGTAGATGAATCTGTAAATTACGGTATTTTGGGTTTTTTTGTTCTTTTTTTGGTTTTTTTTTTTTTTGGTACCTGGGATCGAACTCGGGTCCTTGAGCTTGCGAGGCACGCAGTGGTACCACTGAGCTAAATCTCTGGCCCAATTACGGTATTTTGATCCTGTCTACCATTTCTTAAGAAGACTTTACCTCAAAATAATTAAATTTAAGGCCTTATCAGGTTTACTCCATGGATCTTAAATTATAATAAAGTTTAGTATTGGCACCCAATTTTCAAAGAAGCTAGAGGTAATTTGTACAGAATGCATCTGTGTCTATAAATATGTAACTGGTTTTAGTTGAAAATATTTTTTAAGCTGATAAGTAGCACTAAGGTTCTTGGCAGTGTGGTAGCGGATTATATTATTGGTTTCATTTACACATTTTGAAAAGCTGAAGCCAGCAACCCGGAACAAACATCTAAAGCTTTCTCTGTCTTCTTTGCAAACGAATAAATCAGTGATGGCTTTCTGTGCTATGCAGTTATTGTCACAGATGTGCACTGATTTGCCTGAAAAGCACCCCCTTACACAACTCTTACCTAGGAGAAGAATTTGGTGAGGGAATTTGTGGGACTCCTGGTCAGGGGGCTTTCACAGGGGAGGGAGCCTGATTGTATTGTTTTAGACATCACTTTTGCATTCTAAATAGTAAAGAGATTTTAAAAGGAGCCATTCCTTGGTAAGAAGAGTGGGTAGGACAGCTCCTCCTTGCCCATGCTGATGACAGGAATGCATTTGCTTGGTCTGCTCATTGTGGGGTGACCTTGCTCTGTGCTTGTGAGAGTCCACTGTTGTCCCAAGTATCCACTCTCCCTTTCTTCCATAGCAGCAGCTTTTTAGCTTGGTGCTTAGCTGTAGGAACCCCTCCTCGGCTCTCTTACAGCTAGATGTCTCCAGCTGGCTGTGTTCTTCCCAGCAGCAGAAGGAATGTGAGAAGTGGTAGGGGACGTTGGGCCTTTGTCCTTGATCTTGTCCTGCTACCTGTACTCAGAGCTGCTGACAGGTTCCCTGGGTACCAGAGAATGAGACTCAAAAGCATTTCCCCTTCCTTCTCTAGTGGCATTTCAAATGAAAGTCCTCAGGCTTGCTAATGTTAAATCCACACTCATTTTTACCACTGCATGTGAAATTTTGAATCAATCAGTTACATAGAAGCAGGAAAGAAAAATACAAACACACTCTGACAGGAAAAGTTTAGCTTTGTTTGCTTTGTGGCATTTTATTTTCTAAGTCAAATTCTTTTTCCTCTTGTTTTTGGTGCTTGAGAGAGTCATGATACAGTTCACAGTAGGTCGAGGCCAGTCCTCAGCTGACGTATTTTCTGCTCCAGTAATCCATATTGGCTCTGCGCCTGGTTTGGCCCAGGAGTTCCTGTCATACCTGGACTGCTGAAGATTACACCTGTCAGCTCTGGAGGAAAATAAAAATGTTCTGAAACTCAGTAGAAAATCCTGCCTTTATGTTCTGAAAGGAGGTTACTGAAAAGTGAAGTTTCAGTTGGAGTCTAAGAAACTTGCTAAAACAAGAAGAGGCAACTGTCTTTATGGAACCCTAACAGAACCCAGAGTCTCTGCAGCATTTTCCTGCTGACATCCATGATATGATCTGAAATGACACAACCAACCATGAATCAAGAAATACGAAGATTATCAAGAGAAAAGCCAATCACCCAGTGGAGACCAATCCCACGATGACCCAGGGTGTTAAGAGTCAGTGGACTAGAATTTTAAAGCAACTTTTCTAACTTCACTCAAGAATGTACAGGTGCATATGCTTATAAATTTAAAAAATGAAAAACTCATAAAGAAATAGAAACTAAAGAAGTATCAAGTGGAAACGCAAAACTAAAACTTGCTGTATCTAAAATTAAAGATCATCACTAGGTAGGTTTACCAGCAGAACAGAGTAGACAAGGAAAGTAATCCAAATGCTTGAATTAATAAAAATTATTTAGTCTAAACAATGTCCAAAATGCAAACAAAACTTAAGTGATCCATGATAAATATTTTTGGAGTCTTGGCGGGAAAGAAGAATAGGAAAGAAAAAATATATATGTATGTGAAGAAATAATATTTTCCAAATATGGAGAAGTGTGTTACAGCATGGTGAAACATAAATTTACAGATTCAGTGAACTGCCTCCACCCCATGATAAATGCAAAGAAGATCATGGTTAGGCACATCACAGCTGTATAGATAACACCCTGCAAAAGGTCATGTCCTTCCTGGAACCTCAGAACATGACTTCGCTTGGAAATATAGTCTTGGCATATATCAGCAAGCTAAGATGAGATCATATCAGATATACTGAGCCCTAACTCAGGATGACTAGTGTCCTTATATTGGCCAGCTCTTTCCTTTTGGAACAAACTGTGTATATGAAAGGTTACAGCTTGAAGAGAGGTTTATCTTGGCTCATGGTTTCAGAGGGTTCAGTCCATGATCAGCTGGCTTCAAGACAGAACCAACATGGTAGAAGGGTCTGGTGCAAGAAAGCTGCTCAATCCATGGCAGCAAGAAGCAGAGAGAAGAGCCAGAGAGGAATTAGCCAGGGACCATAGATACAGAAGGTCACCCCATGGCCCACCTACCCAGACAGAGCCAGAAGTGTGCTTTATTTCATTTAAGCCAATCATGCTGATAACTAAAATATAGAGTATAACAGTCCTTATCAAAAGTGAGAATGAGTCAGAGACACACAGCAATAATTCCATGTAATGATAGAAAACCTATCAGAATGATGTGACTGAAATCCAAAGAACACGAAAAACTGATAGCTACAACCAGAACTGGTAAAAGACAGAAAGGATTCTTTCTACTCAGAGACTCAGAGAGAACCTAGCACTACTGACACCTTGATTTTGACATTTTAGCTGCAAGACCTATAAGAAAATAAATTTCTGTTTTTTAAAAAGTCACCCACTTTGGGGCACTTTGTCACGGGAGAATTAGGAAACTGCAGCCACGTGGCGCCCAGTGATGCTCCAGTCAGTGATGGACCAAATATATGGAGATGCTCACATAAGAGGACGTAGCCTAGCGGCACCGTAGCTATCTTAGTTTAGGAATGTACGGTCTTGTATCTGCCTATCTTGTTCTGAGTTTCAGAGTGAGCTGAATTTAACCATAATGCCTTTGGGTGTGGGTATCTTTTCACACGTTGTCTTCCTGGACACCTGGTGGGTCTTTTCAGTTGGAAAACGCGTATCTTTGAGTTCTTGGTGGCTTTCTTGCACTCTTACCTTGATAAATAATTCTCTTCATTTTTTAAATTTTCTTTTCTTCTGTATGTTCTATGATTCTGATGTTAGACATCCTGGACTGGTTTTCTAGCTTCCTTATTTTTCTCTCATATTTTTCTTTATGTCTTTGCTACATTTTTGTAAGGTTGCTTCAACTTTGACTGTAAAATTGTTTAAGATTTGCACTTTTGCTATCAAGTTTCTAAATTTCAAAGACTTTCTTGTTCTCTTCTCCCTCCCGCTTTCTTTTTTGCTTTCTTTCTTTGCTCCTTCCTTCCCTGTCCCTCTCTCCCTGCCTCCCTCTTTTCCATCTTCTCCCTCTCATTATTTAGATGTTTTTGTCAATGTCTTCTTTTTATTGGATGAAATCCCTTTAGTTATCTTCAAAGTGGCTAACTATTATTTGTTGACAGTTCTTCCCACAAAATGTCACTGTCATTAAAAGTGGATGTTCATCTCTAAGTATTTGCATCTTCCGGGAAAGACACTTCTCTCACATTTTATCAATCCTCACCAGCTGCTCAGGCTTAATGGGAAAACTAAGAACTCCACAGAGCCCTTTCCAGGGCTTGTCCTCTCGAGCTGTAAGGAGGAGAAAGGTGAGAAACTCCCTCTGCAGCAGACACACACAGATCTTCCTCCTCCTCCTCCTCTTCTTTTTCCTCCTCTTCCTCCTTATCCTGTGGCCATTATACATTCATGACAAGATGTCACTGACTTTGTCTCAGTGACAAAGTCAACAAACGTCCCAGGGAGCTGGAAGCAGCAGAATGTCATGTAAACAGAATTGAAATGGGCGCCTCTTGCCAACACTGTTTTTGAGCCTTTTCCTCCTTACCAGAGCAGGCGGCTTCGGATTGTAGTACTCATCCTGTGGACTCTCCTGCTTTGGCCCAGTAATTTCATAATTGAGCTGATTTTCAGATGCTTGTGGGCATACATTAAATAAAAAATGTCTCATTTAGCCCATGTATTCCCTTTAGAGATCATGCGTTGGTCTAAATCTACTTTGTAGCTTCTCATTGTAAATCTTGAATTTCTTTGAGTGAAATATTTAAGACATCTCTGTGCAAAGCCTGTAATAAATTGCATTTGGCTCAATCTCTGATTGTGATTTAGTTATGCAAGCTCTTTTCCTCCCCCATTTTTTTGGTTGGATGAATACTTAAATGAATTCCATGCAGAGCAAATGCATGGCATCTCCACTAGAGGGAGGACATGTGCTAATTTTGCACATTTCCGAGGGAGTGACTCTATTCCAGAGTTAATAACCTCGCTCATTACATGCAAACTGTGCCCCGAAAAACAACAGTGATCACTTTCATTTTTATTTAAATGTCTGCTATAATGGAAAAACAAAGGACAAAGCATAGAATATTTCTAAGTCAAAGTAGCAAATCTTTAAAAGTGGCTAATTTCTTGCTTCAAGAATTCTAAACACAGCCCCAAGGTCAGAAAAATATTCAAAGAAAGACCTCAGTGGTCGTAGAACTCAATCTCTTTCTTTAATAGTTGTGGGAAATGAGGCCAGTAGAGGGATCTGTCCTGCTCAGGGTCACAATGTGTTAGTAGCAGATGCACTCAGGAAGAGAAAGAGATTCTGCAATTCCTTGTTCCAGTGCTGTCCATAGCACAATGCTGTGCAGCGTATCTGGTGTAGAGGATGGCTATGTCCATATGTTTGTGCACGTAGATATCTCTGCACATGCTTTCTTCTTTGTGAAGTTTATGATTTGAGGCCTGAGATTAAGAAGGGTTTTTATGTGTCTTAAGTTCATTTGCTCCTAGAACCTCTGGACCTCAGCTCCCCTCATTGCATTGCTCCACATGCAAACAGCCCTGCTTATGCTGAATTCAGCTGACAGATTCTTAAGGCCTCTGCTCCTGTAATTACTAACCAGACATCAAAATAACATGGTTTAGAAAACTCATTGTAAACCTTTCCATGACGTTTCCAAAGTTTTTATTAGCGTGTATGATATTAATGGTGGTGCTTATTTGGCCATAATTGAGGGTGTGTCCCATTTCTCCAAAATAAGAGCGTTTAGGGAGCTATCAAATTTCACTTTTGGCTGAACTTGGTCCATTAGCTCTTCCAGACCTAATGCATTCTGTATTTATCGCTGAGGTAGGGAAGATTATTTTCTGAGTTTTAATTGGGTTGTAGTAAAAAAAAAAAATCAAGAAATGTGAACTTAATTGAAGTCTTTCAAGAATCTTTCTCAACC